CACTCACTCACTCACTCACTCACTCACTCACTCACTCACTCACTCACTCACTCACTCACTCACTCACTCACTCACTCACTCACTCACTCACTCACATACCCACAACACAACACCACACCACACAAAATGGCCCACTATTACGCCAAAGCCTACCCCTACAACTACGACACCGACACCAACTCCGACGAAGACCAGCAGCTCACGCCCAAGCCCAAACCCCGTGCCAACGACGCTGACAAAGACTGGGAGTTCGTTGAGAAGCCCGAGACCTCGGTGCCCTTTGCCCTCACCAAACTCGCCTCCATCACCACCACCACCACCACCACCACCACCACCACCACCACCACCACCACCACCGCCGCCGCCGCCGCCGCCGCCACGAACAAGACCGGCAATGGCGACGGCGAGTCCTACGAGGACGTCAAGATCCTGCAGCGCGCCACCAAATCCCTCATCAACGGCGGGGACTGGCAGATTGCGTCGCTTGGCGGGCGCGTTAGGAAGACCTATTGGGGTAAGTTAGTAGTAAACAAAAAGCGTTTCCAAAGCCGGTCTTCGTGGAGGGATGGGGGAAATCAGTGAGGCTGGCTAATTGATATTCCTTTTTTTTTAAAACGAGTCAATTTCATCACGAAGTCGATTCGAGACCTCAAGGAGGATATGGCAAGGCTGGTGGAGAGGGCGAGGGGGGGGAGAAAGAAAGGTAAGGAGGAGGAGGAGGATCTCAAGGAGAAGCTAAGGGTTAAGGAGGAGGAGAAGAGGGCGTTTGAGCGGATTTTGGAGATAGTGGAGGCGGGAGGAGAGGAGGAGTGATCTATGGGAGGATGTTGCGGCGTTGGGCGCGGAGCGGGACAGAGTGATGGGAAGTGCGGTGAAAAATGATTAGTGCCGTGAGAGAGTGAGTGGGTGAATTAGACGAGGCAAACCGGTTTGCCAAGAATTTTACTGCCTGAAAACTGTTTGCCTTGTTTTTGGTCACGCTTGGGAGTTGGGTGGATACCTAGTGACTTTTGAAAGTGAAGACGCTTTGGTTGCTTTTTGGAAGACATGATGAATTCTACTGGGTCTGTTTCTCTTCACCGCTGCGAGTCAACAGAAGATGACGAGATTCGATCGCAAAGCAGAGTACAGAAAGGCATTGTCCAATGTTCATACTATTCATTACGTGACATCAGCCCCTTCATATCAGGTTTGTCTTCATCGCACCTCCTTCAAGGCCCCCCGCCCCCGCGCCTCATCACACAAAAATGACATCTTCGAGTGGACCCACACCCTTCGTTGCGTAGAGTGGTAGATCTGCCTAGGCTTGCCCGTCTCTGCCGCCAAAACATGCCCTGACCATTCTTACCACTCCCGATGTTCATAGCCCCCACCGCCGCCATAGTCGCCACTAGCCGGACAACTAGCACCCCCCACGCTTTTAGGCTCTGGGAAGAATCCGTAATGTTCATACTTATAGCAGACGGCGTTGGGGGCCTTGGGGCAATCCTTGTGGTCGCAGATGCTCTGGAACTCGCTGTCGCCATTGACGAGAGCCTGGGCAGGGGCGCATGCGACGTTGAACGTGGCGCTTAGGAGGCCGGCGACGGTTTGGACGTCGGCGGCACTGACGCCGAAGGAGGCGGCTGCGGCGCCTACTTGGGAGATGAAGTAGCCGACCTCGTTGGGATCGAGGCTCATGTATCTGTTCGGGGCAGGGTGTTAGTGCGTATGGTTTGGGTAGGACCATGTTAATGTGTGTTGGTTGGCTTGCTTGGCGAGGTATGTGTATGTATGTTGTGTGGACCTACTTGTGGACCTGAAACATGCCAGGCTGCCCAGCGTATGCCGGAAAGCCAGACATGCCTTGCATTGAACATCCAAGGAGGGTCCCGAAGAACTCGTAGAGGTGAGTGAAGAGCTTGCTGAATGCTGGTGAGCAGGTCGGTGGGTGTAGAGTAGGAGGAAGGTCTTACTATTGATTGGTGCTCGTCATCTGAAGGAGACTGCCATCTATGACAGAGGCTGCGCCACCGCCATCGAGGAAGTTGATGGCCACAGGATGGCCACGGTTGGAAGACTTGAGGCAGCCGTTGAAATAAGGCAGTAGGTCAACGGCCTCGCCCCCGTAGGTAGCAGGAGCAAGGATGCCAGGGACGGCGATGCCGACGTTGGGCTGCGTGTAGTTGCCAATAACGACTGTGTTGACGACGAGCTGCAGCAGTGTGTACTGGTTGGCGGCAGTGTTGTCCTTCAGGAGGGCGACGGTGTATTTGTCACATAGCGACTGCTGCGGAGTTGCATTTACGCCGCTGAGGGCGGCAAGGAGAAGTAGTTTGGAAACCATGGCTGATAATCGGGATGGACAACTAACAAGTGGGGGGCTTGCTAGAATGCCCATGAACTCACGCATATATATACACCACTCACTCGCTGATCAGTGCCGTTCGATGACAAGACAGTGTGCCACAGACTTGCTTGAAAGCTTCTCAACTCAAGAGCAGATCTCGTGAGTAATTGTCGTAAGGCAATTCGTCGACGGGTCGTGTGATAACCGGGATCTAGAGCCAGGTCAGCACGTTACGGCCTAATTCAGTGTAGATCAATCCGGGGATTCCGTTCTGGGTGAGCGCTGAGGGTAAGCTCAGGTGTCCCCGCGCGTCGTTCGCCGTTCATTGGACATATCAGCTTCGGGCAGAGTCTGAATGGAACCCACGTTCCTAAGGGGGAAGAAGGTTTTGAAAACGAGAAGACGCTGGTCCATTCCTGGCGCACGGTCTGACGATTCGGGAAACGTCTCTGGGAGACACGCCAAAGTGACATTGATCGCTGACTTGGGCCGTGTCAAGCAGTCTGGGAGTTGTTGACGGTATCGGGCTCGCAGTTGCCGCTGCGCCAACTTGATACACAAAGCTGCACGACCTGTACGACTGCCTCCGTCATGAAGCAGAAGTCAAAGTCGCTGAAGGGGTCCAAGCCCGTGTTGAGCACCTTCGCCAACGTCTCGTCCTGTTTAAGCAACCAGCACTTGTCCGTTGGTCGCTGGAAAGGCAACAATCAACGCTGATCACTGGAATAAAGGTTCACGCATGACGCTCGGTAGTAAGACACAGCGGGAGTTCGAGAGAGGGATGCAACTCGACGGTGTGAAGGAAGTTTCGGGAAGGCGACCAGCCGAGAACAGAGAGTTGGTGCTAGGCCTATTCTGGAATGCTTTGGGAGACCTAATTCCACTACGTCGTTTGCGCCCCCAATCTGCCTGTGTATTGTTTAGCAATCGCATCCCCGCGCTCATTTGAGGGCCCTGCCGGATGGACAGGATCGAGCCAATGCTGAAGAGTGCTGGCGATGAGTCTTGCAGAGGATCTGGCCAGCGCTGGAAGCACAGCGGCAATATCCAGGATTCTTTGGCAGGACGATCCTACTTGAAGAAAAAAGGATACCACATAAACTTCCCATGAGTCTACCGCAAGCCTCTGTCTATACATGCACCGATCGAAATGTCGATGATCCTAAGTAATGTGCAAGCGGACGAAGAATCATCTCATCCGGATGTTTTATCAGCTTCGGAGAGTCGGTTCTTCTGGATGCGCTAGCCTGTTTTAGGGTCGGCCGCTGGTCGGCAATCAGACAAGACGTGGCGCCCTTTGTTCGTCCAGGCGAACGAACTTGCAATGGTATTCTTTACTGTTGCTGAATGACAATCCATCAGAGGATCTTTGTTTTCGGCCGCTTTCGCGTTGTCCCGGCAGTTCTGAAGACCAGAAAAGCCGACGTAGCCAGTCTATTGTAGTGTGTAGCGGAGGCGTCATGCCGAGTCAGGAATTGGAGCCGCGGCCGCACGCCGCAGGCCGGGTCCTTTACCACCGAGTCTTGGCATTCAGACTGCATAGTTATGTAGCTACCTGCGTAGAGTCGCCGCTTTGCCGTCCGACTTAGATCACCGCGGCCGCATCTTAACAACAAATATCTGCTGGATTTGTAAGGCATGGTTGTGTGCTTTATCGACGAGACGATATAATGCATTGCACCATGTTGTTGTCCAATCAATATAAATGTGCTGCTTTCACCTACAATTCTTCATCTTTTCCATCTCATAGCAATTGTTCCTCCAAACTACAATAGTGTACAAAACCAATCCATTATGTCTTCCATGAGCAACGCCACCCTGAAGCCGATTGTTATCCACGGTAATGGCGGGCCAAACCCCACCAAGGTCATCGTTCTTCTAGAAGTCCTTGGTCTTCCGTACACTGCTCTGAACGTAGCTTTCTCCGACGTCAAAGGTCCTTCTTACACTGCCCTCAACCCCAACGGCCGTTTGCCCACCATCGAAGATCCAAACACCGGCATCAAAGTTTGGGAATCGGGCGCAATCGTCACCTACCTCATCAATACCTACGACCGAGACCACAAGTTCAGCTTTGAGGCCAACACCCCCGATGCCTGGCACGCACAACAGTGGCTCCATCTACAGGCTACAGGCCAGGGACCTTATTACGGACAAGCAGTCTGGTTCAAAAAGTTCAATCCCGAGCCCAACCCAAGCGCAGTGAAGCGTTACGTGGGCGAGATCAACCGTATCACAAGTGTGCTGGACGGGTGGTTGGCAAAGCAGTCTGAAGGCGCAGAGGGTGGCAAGTGGCTGGTAGGCGGCAAGCTCAGCTATGCCGACTTGGCCTTTGTGTCATACCAAATCACAGCAAATACCTGGTTTGCAACGGATGAGTTTGACCCGGAGCAATATCCCGAGGTGAAGAAGTGGTTGGAACGCATGGTGAAGACAGAACCCGTCAAGGCGGCTCTGAGCAAATGTGTGCCGTACAATGAGTACGTCAAATGATTGCGAGCCGAGCAGTCGGCCTCGATAGACTAAGCAGACAAGCCAGATGCGCTTCAGATAGCTACATGAGCAATGCATTTCGCTAAACTTCGATCGGTGTCCGGGATACCTACGATTGTCGTTGTTCGCCCAGGCCAAAGCCCTACTCAAACATGGTGAATACGAACGTCCTCTGGCACATTCAACGAGTGGGTACTTGGCTGGCATGGTGAAGACTGACGGATCTATGAGTCACCTTGACGTGTCAGCAACTGGTGTAGTGATTGCCTGGAACCTTCCCCATAATAGCTGCCAATTTGTTGAGACATGCTCCTTCCTGGTGCCTGAATTTCTCTGCCATCAATTAGCAAGCAACCGGCTCCGTTTTCAGACTTCGGATCTTCTGCCCCGTCAAACATACTGTGTCTGCTATTCCACCATGGGCGCACAGATGCCCTACCAGAGGCCTCGTTATCGAGATTGTGAACCGTTCTCAAAGAGGTCGGAAAGAGCGATCGCGTCTGACACCGATGTGCGAATCGCAACAACCAATTCCACGGCCTCTACCGAACATCGTCGCCGTAGCCGGAGTCCCGTGAGAGACCGCCTCGAGCGAGAGGGCCACCCGACCAAGACTCCTAGCTCGGAGCGCAAACATGAATCGACCGAACTCGAGCTACCAAAACCGACCACAATGGACAATGCAGACCTCATCGCAGACACTGCCACCGAGAAGATCGATCACGACCAGACTAGACGCTCACTCTCCGCCTCAGCGCCCTCTAGCCAAGCCGCAGCCTTCACGAGGCGTTCAAGCGCCACTCCCATTGAAGCGCAGAACCATATTGAGTCCATCAGCCAAGAAGCTCCTGACACTTCACGTCAAGCCTCGGTCGCATCATCTACTGCCACCGCTCAAGCTCACAATGGCCACCAGTCAGACGACCGCGGGAGCCTCGTTGGCTCACGCCCACTTCCTATCGAACCATCTTTTGCCGATCCTGTGGCTCAGAGCAACGACTTGACTAGTCGAGAAGCACCTTCCACCCCACAACCACCTGTAGCCGAAGCCCTCAAAAGCGCTGCAGCCTACAATCACCTAAAACCTCCTCAACCCCATCAAGACCAAGACTCTGCCCCTGCTCCTGCCTCACCCGGCGGCAACGATCTTGCCTTATATCCAGCCCGCCCTCCCGCAGCCACAGCCGAGACCTCGACAGTCGAACACCAACGTCAACAGCAGCAGCGCGAATACATCAATCAAGTCGCTCGCATGATCGCCACCAAGAATCTCTCGAGTGGACAGCTCGAAATGATACACTACCGAAGACAAACATGCGAGGACTTCAAGCGGATGCTCGACGAGGCGGTGGCTGAGATGGAACATGATTCACAGGTCCTGACGGAGCGTGATGTGATGATGCGCTGGCGGTGGCAGTGTGAGCGGCAGCGGCATGAGCAGGTGTGGGAAATGTGGAACGCGGAAAAGGCGGAGGAGGCGGCGGAGCGGGCGAGGAGGATGGGGCGGAGGGGATGAATGGCAGCGGAGATGAGGTGAGGTGTGGGCATTCTGACGGACGGGGCAGGCATCAAAAATGATAAATTTCCACGGGGGCTGGCGGATCGCGCGGAGAGAGAGCAAGTGGACCGACTAGGTGCACGTGGTTGAGCATTCGTGTTGCGGTCGTATGGTGTCAGAAAGCCATTGTTTATTGTGTCGATACGGGACATTTGTCATGATGAGGCAGAGCGCGGCAAAAGGTCCCAGCATCAGGGCATTGCTCGGAGGCATCGTTGACAAAGAACGATCCTCACATTGTCTCCAACCGTCCACAAAGGAAGATGTCTTACCTACCTTAGAAGGCCTTCATCAAGCCTCTTCTGAGATGAGTCTCAGATGAAAATCAGAGCATGTTATGTTCCCCGCCACGTAGAGGTCTCTGGGCCTGTTTCAAGTAACGCTGGCGCGAACCAAGAAGCATAAGACTACCACCTTCATCGCTACCCCAATCGAGCTCCGCGCGGCAATGACGTGGATCCCAAAACACGATGCACACCGATGCCGCTGCACGCTGGCCTGGGCGGGTCCAATCCGGCAAAGGCGAAGACGAAGGCCAAGATCCATGCTTCTCGTTCTGGCAAGTCGACTACCCGAGCGACATCGAGAAGCTCTTCTAAAGCGAACGCCGCGCACAGCTGCCGAAGAGGTCGATCGTCACAGGGAGGAAACGCGGAGCGAGTTATCCCGAGGTCGACCTCGGTCGGACCACCATGGGGACGGCGGAATTCCCGTTCGAGCAGCGGTTGTGGCATCCGCATGATGTGTCAGAGCGATTGTTCGACTGGTTCGTGCGTTTCGCTGGCGAGGGGGGATATGAGTTTGCCGACGCGCCCGGAGGAGGGAGGGGTGTATATAGTCGGTTGCACTCCGTGGAGCTGGTTGAGTGACTCAAGCTGCAGGATGTGGCGGTGTTGGTGGGCGTGCATCCGTTTTTCTTGGAGGCGATCGCGGAGAGGATTGCCGTGTGGGATGCCGCGGCTCTCGATCGGGCTGCAGTGAATGGAATGAGAGAGGTCATTGGATGACTGGATGACGACGAGCGCGAGGAATTGGTCGAGACGGTTGGGACGGCTGTACTTGGTTAGAGGCTGGAGTCGGTGCCGCGGATCTTGAAGGTCGACGCTAGGCTTTCTGATGAGATAGGTGAGAGATTGGTGCAGAAGGAAATCCGGCGGCGGCACGAAGAGCTCCAGGAGCTAGGGACGGACGAGGAGCAGTCTGACGCGAGCTCGGCTCCATATGGCAGTGTCGATGAGCCACGAAACTTCTCGCCGGCGATTCAGCGGCCGAGCTCGCAGACATACATGGACATGGACATGGGGACAGGCGACAGTACCTCACGGAGTGAGCATGGAGACGATGATTGTGAAAGTGGTTTGGATACAGCCATTTTATTTGCGAGTGTGAATGGAAGCGAACCCAAAAAGCAATGACAAGCTTGGTGGGACGTGAATTGGACTCTCTGCTCAAGAAGGCTCAAAAAGCACTAGAATTTAAAAACAAAGATCTATAAGGATCAGAATGAATCGTTGCCGTGGTCGTGGTAAGAAAATGGGGAGATGAGGTTGCCGTGCAGGAGGGATCTGCGCTAGCTTGAAATGACTTAGCGTGGGACTTGCCAAGGAAACTCATCTTCCACTCCTCGTCGCTTCCAAGCTTCTCTTTCTCTTTCTCTGTCTTGCTCTTCTCCCCTCGAACAGCTCCCAATCAACTGCGCTAGTGGTTATGAGGCCTGTGATTCCTCATAATTCCTGCCTCTCGATGTTTGACTTTGACAGAGGTTCCCCTATTCTCCCGTATGTCCTTCTTCTCCCATTTCAACAGAGGTTCCCCTGACTCTGATCATGACTTTGACAGATCTAAGAGCATTTTTTTTTCGCGCGCAAACCAAATGATTTCCTTTCCGAGGCGACGGTAGTAGTCTCCTCTCTCGACTTTTTGCGAGTCGTTGAAATAAACGAGCGAATGACTCATTTCTGTGTGTTTATGTCTAATTGTACATGATTGTGATTTGTTCGCCCTCATCTTGGCAAGATCGCGGATTGCCCTGTTTTGCAGCTGTACTCCCCTTGGAGCGACAGCATCCTGGAGGCTCGGCGAAGGGCCGTACCTGGCAAGTCGTGGTCTGGTGTGAGGTTTGCTTGTCGGGGTTGTCGGTCGTTCTTTGTTTTCTTGTCTTTCCTTGTCCTGTGCGTGTTTGGATGTGACTTAGGCAAAGGCGCCCACGATGGACATGCCGGCGGCTGCGAGGGGTGGTTAGACGACTTGTGAAGCCACAGACCGGGGAGACACTCACCTCCTACTAGGACCCATAGGAAGGCCTTGATTCTGGTGGGCTTGTTCATCAGCTCCATTGCCTCCTCGCTCAGGAAGTCCTCCGCCAAAAGATCGACAAGTGCGGCGTAGATCAGGAGACCAGAGGAGCTGTGCCGTTGTTAGTCATGTGCAGCAAGATTGTGGGCAACATGGGCTCTCTTACAAAGCGTTAAAGAAACCGACCAAGATCAAAGAGAAAGCGCTGTTCTGATCATAGCTGTTCCTTGTTGCCAAGCCAATGACTTGACCGAGAGGGCACGTGGTACCAAAGGCGACCACCAAAATCCAGGGCTTCGCAGCTTTGGGCTTGTATGGCACGGCAGCGATTCGGGAGCCAAGGCCGAGACCCTCGAAGAACTGGTGGAAAATGATAGCGACCAGCAGGGTGACGAACCCTTCGGTGGTAATCGAGATGGTCATGCCGACGAAAACACTATGGAACAGGATACCGCATTCCAGCAGAGTGATGTTCATGTTCATCATTCTGAACTTGGCGGCGTCGATGTTGTTCGGGTCTTCCGGGTTGTCGTCAAAATCCATGTACGACTCACTGGCAGGAGCCATCTCTTGCGAAGTTTGCGCAGCAGCAGCGAAGCCGGCTGTTGATTTGGCAAGGACGGCGATCATGTCTCGGAGGTCTTCGCGCTGCCGGACGTACTGTGCGTAAAACACCTGGAACCAAGGCGGCATCTCAGACACAGCGGCATACTTCTCGAGTTCGGGCTGTTCTTCTTGAGCGATGTTAAGTCTGCAGCCACGTCAGCGGTGTAACATGCTCACAGTGAGCTCAACCTACCTAGCTAACAGCTTCTCCTCGTATGCATCAGCATAGGCTGTTGGACGACCGTTGCTGTTATACGGGGGCAATGATGCAGTCGTATCGTTGCGGACCATGCGTGGCGCGGCATGAGCATGAGCATGACCGCCGTGCCCCTGAGGCATTGGCGCACTGATCTCCTGTCCGGTTGGTCCGCCATGTGAATGGCCACCAGTCTTCGCCTTGAGGTACATCTCGATAACGAAGAGGCAGAAGAGTGAGAACATCATGATGACACCAGGCATGGCCGGGTAGTCCTCAATTAGGACATCCGGCAGGCATGGGTCGCTGAGGAAAGCGAAAGCTGTGGGTACGAGCTGTCCTTTTGGTCAGCTGGTGCCATATGATTGACTGAGGTTCTCCTTACATGGACGAAGGCCGTGGCTATCAGCACGCCCGTGCCGAAATGTTTACAGGCGAAGAATATATTTGGCGGGATCTTCATCCATTTCACCTTCTTTGCAACAACGGGGAAGCCGGCCCCTGTACTCCAAAGTCAGTCTGGTATCGGGTTCGCTGGCAATGTGACTGACCGGCTATACTGGCAAAGAAAACGATGACTATACGCCGTTAGTCAAGCAACGTTGATGTCGGGTTTCTCTGCTTACAGACTGCGGCCAAATGCAAAGGGAAATCGTAGGCCTCATCATCGACTGCATCTCCGCCGCACTGCGGCTTTGCGTTAAGGGGATCCGCCATCGTCCAGCGAGGAGCCTTGTCGGCAAATGGCAACAGAGTCTGTAGCAGAACAAGGTAAGAACATAGAACGCCCAATGGAAAGTATACAATGAGTGAGGAGGTCCGGCCTCTGGAAGGAAGTTCAGAAGCCCAGGAATGGCGGAGAAGGAGCCATCTGTATACTCATCAACATTGCGATGTTGGTTTATCTGATGGTGTATTCGTGTGCGAAACACAATGTGTTCCCGCTTCAGCGCAAGACTGATGCTTCGAGGGGGGTTCCACGGTTGGTCGCTTGCCCGAGTGTATGAGACTGCGAGTGTCATCGATGGGATTTTGTCATGCCCAGACAGGAACAGATCTCCACGTCTCGACCATTGGCGCCACCACAGGCCAGGTTCGAGTGCAAGGTCTAGCCTTACAGCTCAAACAGTCATTCGATAAGCCAAGGAAGGCTATGCTCTGGAAAAGTCTCCTGCAGCGTCGCCTCGAACGACGTCGACGGCGCTGGCCAGTGATTTGTGAGATCGGCCGGTAGCAGGGAATCTCAAACAATGGCCGGCCACGGAAGGCAGGACCTCTGAAAATACTTGGTGCCGGCTCGCATTGGTACCCCCTGACGGGCACGCTAGAAGAATCACTGAATCAGCAAGTATTAACGCGGGGAAGTCGAGACGGGTGTGATAGTGTACTTAGGGAGGTCCACTTACAGAAGCTCAGTCTGGAGGATCTACCTGGAACGGGGATGTTTGTGGCGCTTTCTCCGACATGTTGAGCTTGGTTTGGGGATCCAGATTGCGCAATGCGTCCTCTTCTGGTCAGTCCACACAGTCCAGGCCTGTCAGGATGTGTACAAGCGTGCAGATTTACTTTCCGCCGCATGACAGGGACGGACTCGCGGAATGCCACTGCGGTACGGCGGCTGTCGAACCCATCTGCTGAGCATGCGGGCGCGGACAACACCACACTCCAGGCGACTGTTCTACGGCCATGCCTAGGCACGCTTTTGGCTCCTGACAATCTCGTCCGCGTGTACATCGCAACTACCGAAGAGCCAACATGGCGGATGTGCGGTGAGCCAGCCTCGCATACGTGCCGCCAAGAGACGCTGACACACCGGCTACCTGGTCTTCCGCCCCTCCGTCTGAACCGTCTGAGATCCACCTCGCTTCTGTTTGATCTACCAATTTCTCCGACCATACGAAATTCCTTCCGTCCAATGGGACTGCATCTCTCGACCCATCGTTTCACATTTCCTCCGCCTCCAGTGTATGATGGCTTCCTCGCATACGCAAGCCAAAGCAAATGATCAAGGCTGCCAAGTCCTCCGCCAACGCCCCGCCCAGCCTCGCGTCAGTCTCGCGATGGCCTCCCAAACAAGGCTTGACAGTTCTTGATAGCGCCGGCAAGGGGCTTCTCCCGCCGATCTCCTGCACAAGATTCCACCCTCTTACGTGGACCCGGACACGACACGCGAGTCACTCGGTTGTTCCACCCTCCAACACACACTCCCGGATCAGTGTTTGAGAACATATGCTATCGCGTGCGAGGCTTCCAAATAGCCCAACGCCTGCCAAGCCAGCGCCTCGACATGCACACGTTCAACGCGATGCGCGATGGTGGACTGGTCGCAACTTCAAACATTGCCCAGCTTGTCCATCCCATCGCCTCGGGCTCACAAGCTATCCAGAGCCACGAGCTTACACCCTAGCCGAGCTACTGGGCCTTTCCCTGGCCCACAACGGCGCTTGACGATACGCATCTGATAGCAACGCAGGGCAAGAACACCCGCGTCGACGCCATCAGCCGACTCCACCTCGCGACGACTTGCAAACCGTTGTCCTAGTGCCGCCTTTCCAAGACTCTAGAAGCGGTCTTGAGACGCGAAACATGCTTTTCTATCCAAGCTCCTGTCGTGCACAGCCTCCCATATGGAGCTTGGTGGACTCGCTTGCGAACCGTCATTGGCTAGTGTCTATACCGTCTCTCGCTATGCTTGCAAATGCTCACAGTAGCTCCGCGAATTTGCTAATGCTTCGAAAAAAGCCATCACCCTATAGTGATACACCAGCTCGGTTTACGTGCCGTACGACAGTTGCTGCGCCTCCTCCCCTTTGCCTCTTGGGGTCACCATCCTTGCCGACTGTCCAGGCATGTTTACACCACCACGAGCATTGATAAAGGGACTCAACGCTCCCCTCGCTTCAACATGTTTCGTTCTTCACCACATCACCTACAGTGACCGTGCACAACCGCCATCAACGATCTTGCTTCCCCCGCGTTATGGTGACTGGACTCACCAACATTCAATAACACGAGAAGTCTGTGATCTTCTCTCCCCCTCCCAACTCTCGTACCTTCTATACTCGCAGACAGGATCTGCCCGACAACATCAACCCACTGCCGGACAGTCGTAGCCACCATGGTCGAAGATCACTTGGCTACTCTCCCCAAACTCACCACCCAGGTTGGTCACTGCCCTTGACTTCAGCTTGACAAGCGCTGACCCGCCGTAGCCTCCTTCTCCTTCGCCATCCCGGAGAAGCAACACAGCAGAGGGTTCTAACCACGACCAGCTCCGCGTCTCCAACGAGCTGCCGTCTGCCGCTCCGTCCATTGGTGGAGAGACCCTTCACTCACGCGACGGCTCCCTCGGCTTCAATCCGCGGACCAGGACCAACACCGACGCCACAGCCGTGACCATCTCGCCTATCATGGAGAAGGAGAAAGCCAACGCCGCCGTCTCTCAGGTCAAGGACATCGGCTCCGATAGCGACTCCATCTCTACCGAAGGCGCCCTCCGACCCGACAAGGGCGCCGAGAAGGACTTCGTTGTTGACAACAATCCATTCGGCGTCAGCCCCGGCGAGCTCAACAAGATGCAGAACCCCAAGTCACTGGCTGCATTCAAGGCGCTTGGTGGACTTCCCGGCATCGAGCGGGCCCTTCGCACCGATGTCAACGCCGGCTTGAGTGTCGACGAAGCCCGCCTCAGTGGCAGCGTTCCTCGCGCGGCAGAGACGGCTTTGAGTGAGAAGAATGTCGCGACCAAGGTTAATCCTGCCGCGGCGGCCGGCTCGCCCAACGATATTGTCACCGCTCACCAAGTCCAAGATCAGTTCATCGACCGCAGGCGCGTCTTCAAAGACAATCGCCTCCCAGCCCGGAAGACTTACACTCTTGGCTCGCTTCTGTGGGCCGCGTACAACGACAAGATTTTGTGGCTGCTGACGGTCGCGGCTGTCGTCTCCCTCGCTCTGGGTTTGTACGAGACTTTCGACAGCGGCTCTCAAGTCGATTGGGTCGAGGGTCTTGCCATCTGCATCGCCATCATCATCATCGTCCTCGTCACCGCCTTCAACGACTGGCAGAAGGAGAAGCAATTCACCAAGCTCAACCAGAAGAAAGAGGATCGCGAAGTCAAATGTGTGCGCTCCGGCAAGGCGCTGATGATCTCCGTCTACGACGTCTTGGTTGGCGATGTCCTGCATCTCGAGCCCGGTGACTCCATTCCCGCCGACGGTATCTTCATTCAAGGCCACGGCGTCAAGTGTGACGAGTCCTCCGCCACCGGCGAGTCTGATGCCCTGAAGAAAACCGGTGGTATGGAAGTCTGGCACCAGCTCTGCGCGGGCGGCCCGAACGTCAAGAAGCTTGATCCATTCCTCATCTCTGGCAGCAAGGTCCTTGAGGGCGTTGGCACCTTCCTCGTCACCAGTACCGGCGTCAACTCCAGCTACGGTAAGATCATGATGTCGCTTCGTGTCAAGACCGAACCTACTCCCCTGCAAGTCAAGCTTGGCCGCATGGCCAACTGGATTGGAGGCCTCGGTTCCATTGCAGCTGGTATCCTGTTCCTCATCCAGCTCTTCCGCTTCGTTGCACGCCTGGATCAGAACGATGGCACGCCCTCGGAGAAGGCCGGCGAGTTCCTTGACATCCTCATCACTGCTATTACCATCATTGTCATGGCGGTCCCCGAGGGTCTCCCTCTGGCTGTCACCCTCGCCCTCGCCTTTGCTACCACGCACATGATGAAGGAGAACAACCTGGTGCGCGTGCTCCGCGCCTGCGAGACCATGGGCAACGCCACCACCATCTGCTCCGACAAGACCGGCACCCTGACGCAGAACAAAATGACCGTTGTCGCGGGCTCCTGGTCCATCGGGCAGAAATTCTCCACCTCTGGCGAAGACGGCGCCTCGACTTTCGCATCGGTCTTCGGTCGCCTCTCTGCCCCGTTCAAGGCCCTCCTGGACCAGTCCATCGTCGTCAACTCTACCGCCTTTGAAGGCGAGGAGGAGGGTCAAAAGACTTTCATCGGCAGCAAGACCGAGGTCGCTATGCTTCAATTGGCCGAGGCACACTTGGGCTTGACCTCCACCGCCCAGGTGCGCGCCAACAACGACATCGTGCAACTGTATCCCTTCGACTCGGCGCGCAAGTGTATGGGTTCCGTCATCCGCCTGCCCAACGGCAGCTACCGCCTGGTGGTCAAGGGCGCCGCGGAGATCATGCTGGGTAAGGCCGACTGGGTCATCAGCAACACCGCAGGTGGTAACCTGGACGTCACGTCTCTCGATGTCTCGACCAAGGAGGCTGTCGGCCAGCAGATCCAATCGTATGCCAGCCGCTCGCTCCGCACTATTGGCTTCCTGTACAAGGACTATCCTTCCTGGCCACCCACCGGCGCGCGCAGCCTCGAGGGCGACAAGTCGGCCGCCGAGTTCGCGGACGTTTTCTACGGCATGACCTGGGTGGGCCTCGTGGGCATTCAGGATCCGCTCCGTCCGCAGGTCACCATGGCCGTCCAGCGCTGTCAGCAGGCCGGCATCAAGGTACGCATGGTCACCGGCGACAATCTGACGACCGCCACTGCCATCGCGACCGAGTGTGGCATCAGAACCGCCGACGGCGTTGTCATGGAAGGACCTGTCTTCCGCCAGCTCTCCGAATCTGAGATGGCAGCCGTGGTCCCCAAGCTTGATGTCCTCGCACGCTCCTCGCCGGAAGACAAGCGAATCCTCGTCGCGCACCTGAAGAAGCAGGGCGAGACCGTGGCTGTGACGGGTGACGGCACTAACGACGGACCTGCGCTCAAGACCGCTGATGTGGGCTTCAGTATGGGTATCGCCGGCACTGAAGTGGCCAAGGAAGCCTCCGAGATCATCCTCATGGACGACAACTTCGCCAGTATTGTCAAAGCTGTCATGTGGGGCCGTAGCGTCAACGACGCCGTCGCCAAGTTCCTGCAGTTCCAGATCACGGTCAACATCGCGGCCGTGACGCTCGCGTTCATCTCCGCAGTCTCCAGCACCGAGAACCGCTCCGTGCTCTCGGCCGTGCAGCTCCTCTGGATCAACCTGGTCATGGACACATTCGCCGCGCTCGCCCTCGCCACGGACGCACCCACAGACGCGATCCTGGACCGCCCGCCGACGCCCAAGTCGGCCAGCCTGATCTCGACGCACATGTGGAAGATGATCATGGGCCACGCGCTCTACCAAGTCGTCGTGTCACTAGTCCTCTTCTTCGCGGGCGCCAAGATCTTCAACTACCGCTTCATCTCCGAGAACCACCACCGCCAGGAGGAGCTCAACACCATGGTCTTCAACGCCTTCACGTGGATGCAGTTCTTCAACATGTTCAACGCCCGCCGCCTCGACAACCACTTCAACATCTTTGAGAACGTGCACAAGAACCCCTTCTTCATGGCCATGGCCGCCGTCATGGCCGGTGGGCAAGTCATGATCATCTTCGTGGGCGGCAAGGCGTTCGAAGTCGTTCCCCTGGATGGCCCGCAGTGGGCCACCAGCATCATGACGGCCCTGCCCGTGCTGCTCTGGGGTGTGCTGCTGCGATGCGTGCCCGACGAGGTCTCGGGCCGTTTCTTGGGCCTGTTCGTCACGGCGTTCAAGCTCGTCTTCGGCCCCGTCGGCAGGTGCTTTGGCGCCATGTTCGCGCCCGTGGGCCGCGCCTGGAGGAGGATGCGCGGCAACAAGCTCGAGCGCAGGATGAGCGCTAGAGGTGCCGACGCTGCCTGAGACTGGCCTTGGTCTTGGTCTTGGGGGGGGAATGATGAAAAACCCAAGGTCGGTTGAATCGACCCGAAATCAGAAAATTCAAGGGTAAACACAGCAACCAACGGAAGACGAAACGGGGGTGGGAGACTGGAGAGAAGGTGAACCGCCATCGAGGCCCCCCTGTTCCCACAAAACCCCATGCGCGAGTGGCCCGTGGCCCGCGTTATTCACGATCGTTATGACAACCCACAACAACACCAGCAGAAACCCAAAAGCAAAATCTCTGTCTGTATGATTAGCCCTTAGCCATTAGATTTGATACCAGCGCCTTGATCGGCTGCGCAACAACAAAAGTTATTCTTGTTCTTTGAAACGACATCATCGCGTCTTCTTCACCTTGTCTTTCCATTTCGGTTCATCGGTTGAATTCTTACTTCCCTCGAGAGAGCCGCCGAGCTTCTGAGTACTTACTATACTGTACCGTACCGTATATCTCTTTGTAGGAGGAGCCCGAGGGAGCCGGAAGGGGGGGAACAGATACGCAGCTTACTTTTGTCAGAACTTGAAGAATCTCATGTCTCAGTCCCATCCACAAACACCACCATTGGCAGAATGCCGTTGGTAGGGTAGACGCTCTGTTGCCCATATGAAAAAGGCCTCTTCGGTGCAGCGCGCGGAAGAGCGCATGGCCACCAGCAAAGCACGACGAACGACGAATCCCCCCTAGCGGGAGGCCTCTGGGCGGTCAATCCGCCACTTCGGCCTGCCTTCTGGTGTGGGATCGAGGCTCTGGCTCTGGCTGTGTGGCTGTGGCTGCGGCGCAACGTGGTGTGCGTGCAGTGCCGTATGTATAAGCTGGGGCAGCATGTCGAAGCATGCTTACTGAAGTCCCTTTTCCTCATACTGCAAGTAGGCACGGGCGAGAGTTGCAGTCCCAACAAGCCTACACGTTCGTGATAGGATAGGTCCGGAGATAAGGGGGTTCCAAACCGACTGATCAGCCTTGGCACGAGGACCTTTCTCACCGGCGGCGTATGAACTGCAGTTCACCACAGGCCTACACATCGCACACGGTTCAAGCCCAAGAAAGAAAAGCAAAGCGAGAAGAGAAGACGTAGCCACCACAGTCAATCCATTCCATTCCATTCCATTACGTCCTTCTCCCGACCCCCTCTCCCTCCCCAAAGTCCTTCTTCTTCTTCAGCACTACTGCTCGCCTCGCCTCGCCCCAAGAATGAATGCATCCAGTCCCCGTTCCCCGTCCCTTTCCACTCCTTTCCCTTAACGCTGCTGTAGTTCCAAATCCCGTGCTGCTGTATCCTAACGTACGCCATCGCTTGCTGGAAGCCCTGCATTTTGCATTTCAAGAAACCCATCCACTGAAAACCACATACACACACACTCACACAGAACCACATATCCAAAATCCAAATCTCGGTCTTCGTTATAGTTACGAACCGGATCCAAAAACCTCCCTCAGGTGGTGTCCCGTCGCGAATTAACCAGTATTGTTGGTATTCGGGGTGACCTTCTCTTGTGCGGCCTGCGGGCTCTGGCCGACCGTCTCAGATGCAGCTGCTGGACCGGTGGCGGAGACGGGAGTAGGCTCGGTCGCAGCCACAGGATCGGTGGCCTCTGTAGTCGGGACGCCAGCAGCCTTCTCCGTCACTTGCGTATGCGCTGTCGGTATCGGAGGTGGTTGTGTCTGAGACAGGCCAGACATGTCAGCTCTTTCTCGGGCCTCGGTGACAGGCCTCTCAACGACCGTCTGCAGCGGGGGCTGGTTGGGTCCTCGTTCTGTTTCCGTGGGACCGACACCGCCCTCATTACTCGATTGACTCCCTCTCAAGATTTCCATGCTCCTTCCTCGGCTGCCGCTCTGACCGGAGCCGACGACTGTGCTGCTCAAGCTGGTGCGTGACTGACCATGACCGGGTGCAGGGGGGCTCTTGGCGCGCTCTTTTTCCAGCTTCTTCTGTTCGCTCCGGTCGTTGAGCTTCGCCTTCCACTTGCCGAATAGCCCCTTCTTTTCCTCGCTGGGTGTGTTGGAATTAGTGTTCGTGACATCGCGAAGCATCTCGCTACTTTCACGACTGTGGGTGCTGGCTCCCATAAGAGTCTGTCCACCCAGCATACTGCCGTCCCGGTCTTGTTGAGATGTGCCTGTGGCAGCACTGTCACCCGTAAAGCTTTTTCTCGGTCGATTGCTGCCGAATGAGCTGCTACTGCCCCTAGCCCCTGCGTTGCCACCGATCGGAGGTGGTGGCGAAAGCGGAAAATCTTCAGTGCGTTTTGCAGAGCTCGAGAAGCGCCATCTCGACCGCTTCTTTTCCTTGTCGGGTGGACTGGCCGCAGCAGTGGCGGCTGCCGCAGCAGTGTCGTCAAGTTTGTCAAACTCTGAATGATCCGTAGAGCGCGAATGGAGGGAGCCGGCGGGGGAGCGAGGCGGTTGTAAGTGCAAGCCCTGCGACTTCTCTGCCGATCCAGGGGAAATGGTGGTTGCTGTAGGTGTCTCCACCGGCGTCGCCGAAGTGTTCTGTATGTTGGGTTGCTGAGTACCGATTGGGTCAGGCTTAATACTCTGCATGATGTTGGGAGACACAAGGGGCGTGTGAAAAGCCTGTGTGTCGTCACCCTGGAGTGACGCTTGAGAGCTCTGCGCACTCTCATGGGCGCTCCCGGGAATCCGAGAACGTTTCTGCAGCTTTTTCGGCTGTCGTGACGGCTGGACTTCCGAGGGCCCGAAGATAGGTGACCTGGCGAACAAATTCGAGATTTTTCGCTCCTTCTGCGCTCCAGCCGGTACGGACGGGCCCAGAGAAGGCGAGTGCGCGGGTGCCGGGACCGAAGCGACCTTTGGCGACACAGACTGTGGTGCAGTGGACTCCTGAACGGGGACGGGTGTTGTTGGCGTCTCGGGTTGCGGGGCTGGTGAAGAAACTGTTGGTGAATTTGAAGCCGACGTTTCATGCATGCGGTGGAATCTGCCGCCGGCGAGCGCAGGTGACCGCTTTGACGGCACGGTGTTGCTGCGTCCTATACCTCCAGTATTAGAATTGGTGGTGCTCAGCTGGCTCAGTCCGGTAGGAGTGCCTGGAGATGATACGCCTGGGCTTCCTCTTTCTCGCGAATGGTTCGAGGAGACAGACACGTTCCTTCTGACCCCAAATTTGCGCAAGCTGTCCGCGCCCGCACTAGCATTCGAGGTCGATCTCCCCACTATGCTATTGGGTTTTGGTGACCGCACTGAAGCAGCGCCACTTTCGACATCCTTGACAGTCTTCTCGTCAACAGCAGTGCCGGTCATGCCAATCAAAAAGTTGTCTTGGTTCTCAATTAGGAATATCAGCACATCCTGACTCAAGCGATATTCCATGGGCGCCATGTCGTGTTGTGGATGGGAAATGATACCAGGCTGGAAAATAGCTGCCAGGTTGGCCGCATTCATGCGATTAAGATCCGACTTGGATGCGAAAACGGCCAGTAGATCGAGAATATATAGCAGAAGCTGCCGGTTTAAAGGAGGCAGCTCGGTTATCATCTTTTGATACGCGGCTACAGCCTCGCTGTGTTGTTGCACGCCCATGTCAATGGGCATAATCTCCGGTTCGGCTGTGGTCCGCGCCGCGAATGGGCGCAGTGGTTCGCGGAAGCGTTCATAGAACTCGAGCGGTACGATTGGTTCGGGTAGTTGGTTTAGATATCGTCGCAGAATGTTGGCGGCATCGTGGACAGTATAACCTGTCCAATCGAGACCTTTGCCGTAGCGATCGGGAGAGTTGAACACGGCTTGCAGGTCTTTGATACGTTTGGCAGATCCACTAAGGCGGAAGATGCCCTCAACGTCGGTTGCTTTGAGGATGTTAGTAGATGTGGATCTGGTAGGGGAAGCTTGATGCATACCCTTCTCCTTCAAGAAAACACCGCATTTGGCGACGACTATGGGCACGTATCCGTAGATGAAGCTCTCGCCCTGTTCGTTGGTCAAGGAGATTGCGACGTTGGCATAGCGTATGCTCTCCGCGAGGGGCACACCAAATATGCCGGGCGCTTCAGCTGTCGCGACTGTCAGTTGGCTTTTCAATCTTGCGCTCTCTGAACATACTCTTTTCGTCAGACTTTTCCGTTGTCTTCCTAAACTTCTTCCACCACGATGCAAGCTCTCGTTTCGACGGCGGCGACAGCGCAGGTGTCGAAGATTGGTCGTGGGGGTTTGGCGCGCCGCGATGAGAGGGTTGTGGAGGAATAGGTTGAGGATTGCTCGCGGGCGCGGCATCTCCTGTCGCCATTGTTTGGCGTCAGGTGCTCAAGTGAGCACGGCCTCAGATTCGTGGCCGGATGGGAGATGTGTTTGTGAATGGAAGCTCGGTGGGCAAAATTGATCGACGACGTCAGGCAGTGGGTAGGGAGGTGACGGACGCAGCTTCGGAGGGAGACAGAGCGATCTGCAGACGCGAACGGGGAGTTGCGAGGCGGGATAATCGTCGGGGCGTGGATGTGTGGACCTCTGCGCAACGCAGTGGCTGTGTGGTGTCGAGTGAGCCTGTAAACGAAAGAGGCTGGCACATGCACCGTGATCCTCCAAAGACGCCCAAGATGGTCAAGGGCGCGGCCTCGGGTTGAGAGATGAGCGACGTGTTTAACAGCTACAGTCGGAAATGTGAGAGGTTGACGACCGAGGCGACAGGATGGCCGACGCCAGATACAGTAGCGCAGAGTGTTGAGTAAATGAGGGCGCAGGGGTGGTGGAATTGCGACGTGGGAAACAAGAAAGTGAGATGATGGGCGCGCCAGGCCGCCCAGAGCAAGGCTCGATCAGGCTCAGGCTGCTCAGGTTCGCGACCGGGGGACAACTGGTAGGCAGTCCTGCTGGCCAAACTGCTGAGTTTCAGCAACAATAGCCGTTCCTGGTCTCGAGGTTGGGGCATTCGAGAACAGTTGGCGCGGCGAATGATTTAGGCTTCAACTGATATTGTTCTATACATAGGCAGGCAGCATACTGGTTGCCCGCCTGGAGGTGCCGCCTTGTTTGCCGAAGCCTGTTATAGCCATCCCAGTCAGCTGCGTGCACGATCCACGATCCACGTCGACACCCATAGCGGTCCAGAACTCTATCACGACCTCGGTAGGTTGGTGGCAGTGTTTCAGAAGTGCACCGAGAACCTGCTCCGTCGCCTGAAGACCTGGCCGTACGCAGCCAAGGCTGCTGATCCGCATCCAGCTTCCAGCCAACTGGACACCAACGTAGATAGTCACCAGCAAGCGAGCCGCATCTATTGCTCAGAACACTTGAAGCTACGGGGATCAAAGAATTCCCATTGCTGCATACCTGTCCCATTATAGAGGTGCATGTATGACTTAAGGTTGCAGCCCAAGAAACATGTCGAATCGCTTTCGTGGGTCGCGTCTCAATGCGATACTGATGGGCCGGTACTGTCCGTTCCGAGCTATGCCCCATGACGCCGATAGAATGCTGGCAGAAGAAAACGCCGTCTAGGCCTCCTAGACTTCCTTGTCCCGATTTTACATGATCAGCCTCAGCCTACTCCTCCAAGATGGCGGGGGCGTTCTTGGCCGCGTCGCGCAAGCTTGCGTCGAATTCGCGCTTCATGCCGTACTTGACAGCCTCCAGCACATTGTCGACGGTGACCTTGGGCTTGTACGCTGGCTCGGTGCCTTCACGATACACGCCAGTCTTGACGAGGATCGAGTGCCAGTCGTTGATGGCCTTGCCCGATTCGTCGAACTCGTTGGTCCCACGAATATCAGATTCGGGAGTCTGCATCAGAGGTTAGTGGATCGAGTCAAGCTAATATGCCATGGGACCAACTTACGTCGCCAACAAAGTAGACGGTCTCAGGTGGGGCGTTGATGCCGTGAGTGTCTTTCCGCCACTGTTGAAGCAGCTTGGTCGCGAAATCAAAAGTGCCTAGTTGAGGCTTGCCAAAGGCCACGGTCCGAAGCTCCTTTTTGGTGATGGCCTTGAACATGGCCTCGAGCGAGGCACGGAGGGCACCCATTCCAATGCGAGAGTAGGTGTGCGAGGTGGCCCAGATAACATCATTGTGCGCAAAGTAGACGGGCGGACCCTCGTCAAAAGTCTCGGAACGTGTACCGAGCCGACCGTTCTTGCTCATGCAAAGGTCGAGGATGATCTGCTGGTCGCCAGCCCAGTCTCTGCTGTCGGCAAAGACGAATACGGCCTCGATGGGGATTTCGCCATAGTTGCGCAGCTTGGAATTGGTGTGTTCCTCATCAGTCAGTTTCCGGAAGGGAGTCGTGTCTGAGTTGTCCTTGATGATATCACCGGGTGTGATGACATCTTGGAAACCATATCCTTCGGCGACAGTTCGGCACTTCTCTCCCTCGCCACCAACCACGAGGACAGTCTTGTACTTCTGTGCCATCTCCCGCATGGGAGTGTGGCCGCAGATAAACTGTCCAGGAGATACCTCGAGCTGGAGTTGGTTGGAGAGCTGAATGCATCTCTCCTCTTCAGTCTTGCCGCCACCGTTGGTAACAAAGATATAGGGTCTGAACAATTAGTGACTCAAATTGCAGCCTGGCGTGAAGCACTTACACTTTGATGTTGTACTCGTTCTCACCATTGAGCACTTTCATCGCCTCGATGGCTTCCGGAATCACCTCGCCACCTTTGATGAGGACACCATCGATATCAAAGGCATAGGCGTACCTATCCGTCGTCCTGGTTTCACCTTCCTCGGGAGTCGTAGGTCCGGACTCGTCGGGCGTAGGCAAGTCGGTGGAAGCCTGGGCAAGATGGTGCCGCGCCAACTCCATGGTGTGTGCCGTCTCATGGGCGCTGCTTCTGCGCGAGGCGGAGGAAGGAGGGCCAACGACGGTCAGACCCTCGAAGAGATCGGAGCGACTGACACTCGAGTTGGACAACCGGCGGGTGCTGCGTCTGTGATGGTGTCTCTTCTTCTCCTCGGGTGGGGCGAGCCCCGGGTTCTGAGCTGTCTCGTTCGACATGTTTGCTTTACGGGACTGACTCAACAAGAAACGAAGGCGGGTGATGAGTTCTGGGTACTAGTCACTGGCGCCGAATGTAGCAAGACACAAAGTACTTGAGAATAGGTTGCAGTAGGTAGTCATTTATCCGGGGATTATATGGGGCCTCTTCCTCTCTTATATATAGACCTACTGTAATGCTCTGAGGCGTCATCGAGCCCGAACCGCCGAGCGATGCCGACCGGGCGGGTCCAAGGCGACACGGAGCGGTGGAAACGTTTATCATATGCCAGCACTGAGCAGACAAGAAAAGCATCCCTCCACATGGCGAGCACGGGGGCATTGGTGGAGGAGTCGTGCTCCATCCATAATGAGCTCTTAGCTTATCGCAACCGAAGACTCTACAGCGTGTGACATCACCAGGAGCATCTAGTGGGGATACACCTGAGATTTTTTCCGGCGAATGCGACGTTTTCTGTTGGTCCACCAGGGACCGAGTATGATATTGGAGATTTTGCTCGTCTGTGGCCACAAGCTGAGTGCCACACACATGCCACTGGGAACCAACGAGGCTCTGCTGCTCGCGGCTGGAAAAGCTTTTTCCTCGCTGTACGTCAGACCGAGCGAGCGAATATTACAGTCCAACGACTTTGCGCATCCCGACACTTCAAGATTAGAGTCCTGTTACCCGTCTCCAATCAGATCGACATCTCTGCAGCCTCTTCCTCCGTTTCTTTCTCTTGCCCCATATTGCCAATGTTTCATACCTAGGTAGCCTGCAGCCTGCAGCCTGCAGCCTGCAGAAGCCTCCTTCGGATCTTGCTCGATCCTCAGCAGCCCCCCGAACTGAATCTTATCCACTTGATTGAGCCACATGTCCTCGAAAAGGTATCCCGTCAGCCTCTGGAGCCTTTCGTCGGTGTACGGCTCAGGCGGCTATCTGCGTGCAGCAACCCTGGAGCACGATTGGAAAGCTGGCAAGGGCGGAGAAGATCCATGTGAAAATTAACTGGTATACAACGTACCAACGTACGTGATAGTGCCTACATGTGCAGCACTTCTGCAACCATCCAACGCCGTCGCTAGATAACGCTCATAAGAAGCCTGGTCAGACGTCATCCTCAGACCTCAAACTCCTCGGTAAGCCAGTGCTTGACTACCAGCTTGCCCTCTTCAAATGCTGCCCGAGCTGTGCGTACAATGATTGCTGCATGACTGTGCGAACTTTTGGTGATATGGACGCCAAATTTCCTCCATCCCACCTGGTCCAACGCACTGATCATCGAGAATTGGTCGGGCGTTAGCGCCAGTGTGGGGAACTCAGGCTGCCTGCTGCTTGTTTCACACGACTTCTCGGAGAGGATGGACTCTGCCGTGTCGACTCTGTCCAGCAATGGGGACGTGGGCTCTCCACTCAGCTCTTCTGAACCGTCTGGCAGCATGTCTGGTGTCTGTGCCGAGTTCACATTCTCAAAGGCGTCCTCCAAGCCCACTCGCATCTCCTGAACAACGTACGGGATGCGGTAGACGCCAAAGCCAAGACCTTCACTGTCCCTTTCGTGGAGCTGGATCCGCTTTCGACTCCGTACTGTCTGGTACGCCGAATTGGCGAGGAAGACGCTAATCGCAATCGGGACGAGGATGCACAATGCAAGGACAATTGGTGCTCTTCGAGCGAATGTGCGACCTCCTTGTTGTATTCGTTGATAAAAGGTGGGTAACTCTGCTTCGGGCGCCCGCTCGACCGGGTGATCAGGGTCAAGCAGAACTGGCTCGTATCCCTTGACGTAGTTCAACTTGACTTTGTCCAGGTTTGTGTAGGGATCTTTCCGAGCTATACCGGTCGTATAATATACGGCAGTCCGGTCATTAACGATGTTGGTGTACAATGTTCTGTTCTTGAACGTGCTCAGAGCATGAATGAAGATGCTCTCGGGATCGGCAAGGACGGCCAATAAAGGTCGACCTGTATCGCGGAAGTTGTCGATGGTGAACAGCTGTCGACCTGACGTTGACAGAGTCCGAGCGCCCAAGACGTTCCACAGATGGTTCTGATATCCAAGCAGAGGAGTCCTTACACCAAGGTGAGGCGTGGCGAACGTAGTGAAGTTGACGGGCGATATCTTCTCAAAGTAACCTTTGTGATATAACAATCCGACCACATAACGAGCAACGAGGCCACCCAGCGAGTATCCGACAATGGAGAATTTTGTAATGTTGTGTCCATCCCTGGCGAGCTGCTCCAGGACATCCTCCACCTCTCTTGTCACTCGCTCCGCGCCAATCTCGATGCCATCGTAAGTCAGCGACCCAGTATTGCGCTTAGCTGAATACACCACGAGCTGGTCTTCGCTATATTTGGTTTTCAAAGACTCCGAGACGTAATTGAGGTGCAAGGGTTGACCCCAAAGTCCACCGTTCGGATGTCAGCAGGAGAGCGAGGATCGCGAGGCGTGGGCGGACTCACTGTACCAGAACGCATAGGTGGGACGCAGACGCGGATGACGACTTCGTTGTTGAACTATCCATATCCTGTGTCGCAAAGAGTGTACGTCGATCGACAAGAGATCGAAGATCAACCTGAGTGAAAAGAATGTTAGGAACTACCGCGCATATACGTCGCAGCTAAGCAAAGTGCTTTGAGAGAATAACGAGAGTGGTGATGGCATACATACCGGCAGCATCTTGCATCAACGTGTCGCCGCCTCCTTCACGGCGGACAGCGGACGAACACGGTACCGATTGGCTGGAGTTTAGTCGGAGACCGGAGTTGGCGTGGTTGGATCTCGCGTGCAGATTTCCGAGCCGCAGGTACTCGTAGCCAGCAATAATTAGGCCGACACAGGTTCACCTTCACCTCCCCCTTCTTCCACTCTTTGCTGAACACTCAACAAAAAGTCGATGATCTGAGAGAGGTTTGTACTATGGTGAGTGCAAACGTTGTGTTTGTTGCAGCAGGCAGCCAAACCTTCTTCCCGCTGGCTGTGTCACTCGTCTGGATTGTTCGTTGGCCCTGTACGCTGCTGGGCGAGGAAAGTTCGCTCTTCACCTGCACTCTAAGGACCAGGGAGAGAGCTGGGCCCGATGCACAGGGCGCCTGCCCTACTTCAACCATGCGCCGGTCGACTACATGAGGTGTCTGTGTTCCGTGTTTCTGGTCATGGCGAGCGATCATGATAAGCGCATTCCACTCGCCCCCCAAGCCAACGTCTTATCGCGACCAAGCCAACAAGCCCCGCGAAGCTACCCGACAGGCATTGTGTCCAGGCCCCCGCCAGACCTTCGCCTCAACTGACAAACACATGGGTCCGACTATTGTTTTTCCGTATATTGAATCCGCCAGTAAATAACCAATCTCAGCCAGGCTGTGAGGTAATTTGGTGCATATCAGGCTTGTGCTGAATTGCTTCTGCACTGACCTAAAGCCAGACAGGTCCGCGCCCCTGTGGGAGCCTCGTTGATATGTCAATGCCATACTAGCCTTGCAGGAAGGACGTTGGCTGTGTAACGCCACCTAACTACATCAGGCGCAATGAGGCATCGATAGGTGAAACCCTTGCTGAATGGCAAGCCATCTTACCTAAGGAAATCGTATGGTGAGTGGATCGAGCAATATGCAGCTTCCAGAAGCAAAGACAACATCACTCCTCGTCACAAGATCCAAAATCTTGACGTTTACGAGAAACTGGTCTTGCTCAAGTTCGTAGTGGTTCAGGCGGAGTTGCCGAAGCGAGACATCCTCGACACTACCCTCGAGAAACTACTGCAACGCTCAGGTAGATACTTGACGCCTGATGTCCGATCTTATGCAGTCGGGTCTGCTCGCCATATAATGGACTGATGCTCCGCCTGTGGACGCAATACTGCAAACCATGGGTTGCTGCGTCAATGTCGAATGCAGGGGTCTGGCTAGAGGATAAAGAGAAACACAGCAACGATGCAGCGGGTTCCATCAGATTATGTGGCCCATATGAGCTCCTTCTCGGTTTGAGCAGTGTGCAATCCGATTGCAAGTGACTTCTCGTAGAGGGGGTGAATATTCAGTAGAGCATTACGCACTCCAAGGCAGCGTGAATGCTTGGTTCCACAAGGCTGATCAACAGCCTTGCGCAACATGTTTCAACGTCTAAAAGGACTTTGAATCCAGCTGCTATTCCACCACCCTGATCTTCCTCATAGTTTTGTATCATAATGCGAGCACACAGCAAGGATGTTCTCGTCTAAGGGTCTGTTCAAGGACATTCCATGCCCGAGCCAGGCAGAGTGCGCTCTCCCGACCTGTTGGTTCCTTCACGAAGACGCAACCACATCGGCCAATGACACGGCGCAGGAGTACGACCCTTTTAGTGCAGGAGTGTCAGACTCCCCCCCAGCAAAGCGACGGAAGATAGGTATCGATTCCGATCTACAATATGGCAATGCGGTCTCTGCGGTTCGAAGCGTTATTGAAGTCCCCGCCGAGCTGCTAGATGCCAAGCATCATGACGATCCTCCTCATACCAGAGCGATCTCTAAAGACGCCACCAGGGCACTCGCCGACGGCAACAAATCTGTAGCGTCTGCAGACGGAAGGAACAATCTGCGTACCGTGAATCGAGCCATCACTCCTCCTCCCACGCAACAAGCTAGGACCAAGCAAAATGGATCGTCTCGGCCACAGGGTCAGCAAATGGATGACAGACCTGTACCCCCAAAAGCAAACCAGCATGAACTACAGTCAGCATCTTCTGAACAATCCTCCAAGCAAAACACATCGAACCGAGCGGTGACCCCTCCCAAAGTGAAGCCGCGATCAAACGAGTCCAATCAAACGCGATCAACAAATCCTAAGTCCGTGGAAATGATCAAGAAGGAGGATCTTGTACCTCGTCTCTTGGGTCCAGGACCGGCACAGCACAGCAGCCGCATGAACTTTCTGACTGCCCTTCATAAGCAGATGCAAATGCGGAACACCAAAGTTGTGCAAGCTGGACAGGACCTCAAGTCACTACGGCTGACACAGCAAGAGCTGATCACTCTGGCGCTCGACGAGGAAGAGCTGCTTGCGCGCAAGCATGACTCAGGTATCTATCAGAACATGGTACGGCAACGAGCTCATGCAATCTCGAAGATGACCAATGACCAGTGGGGGGCTTTCATATCCGACAAGGTGGCTCGTCTTCTTCGTCGCAAACGGGCACCCGCAGCACAGCCACCTGACTCGTCTTCAGACCTACCGCATTCTACTGGACTCACAGCACAACAACATCTCACTGTACTCCTGCAGCTATCCCGACCTCTAGTTAATCTACAGCAATACGGCTACGTAACCACTCCGCCTAGCAATGAAGAAATTGCCTCCGCCGCTGCAGCAGTGAAGGCTAGCGCGAATTGGGAGAAGTGCGATCGTTGCGGAACGCGCTTCCAGGTTTTCCCCGGACGAGACGAGCAGGGGCGGCTTGCGTCTGGCGGACGCTGTCGGTATCATTGGGCTCGAGCTGGCCGCGGGCGTTTGAGCAGGATTCAAGTGGCGACAGGTGGAACTGAAGACAAACATGGATGTTGCAACCAAGCCTTCGGAAGCGAAGGGTGCACCGAGGCAGACACGCACGTTTTCAATGTCAAGGACCGAAATCGATTGGCCAGCAATTGGCAGTGGGTCAATACTCCAGAAGAGGATGGAACTCAAGCTCCAGTGAGTTTCGATTGCGAGATGTGCTATACGACGTTTGGGCTGGAAGTCGTAAGGGTGACGGCCGTCTCGTGGCCTGATAACAAGACTCTGCTTGATGTCCTGGTCAGACCTTACGGCGAGATTCTCGATCTCAATACTCGCTTTTCGGGCGTATCGAAGAAGATGTATGCAGAGGCAGTTCCTTACGTCGACCAAGCGACGGATCCCGATGCACACGAGGCAGAGACGCTGATGAAGGTTGAGACACCTGCTGCAGCTCGTCAATTGCTCTTCGAATTACTGACACCGACGACTCCTTTGATCGGGCACGCCATCGACAATGACCTCAACACGCTGAGGCTTATTCATCCTACCGTCATCGACACCGTCCTGCTCTATCCCCATCCCAGAGGATTGCCGGTGCGAAATAGTCTACGTAATCTCGTGGCCCAGCACCTGGGTAGGACTATTCAAGCAGGGCCCGGACATGACTCCAAGGAGGACGCCGTCGCGACGGGAGACCTTGTCACGCTATCAGTCAAGAATAAGTGGAAGATCCTACAGGCAGAAGGATGGAAGTTTGACAAGAACGACGAGCTGGTCAAAGAAGAAGGCGCAAGTAAACTTTAGAGAAGATAACATCCTCCTTGACCCTGCCTCAGGTGCTGGAGGAGCTTGTGAGTGGGTCCTGTTAGCCCGCGGTAAGACCCGCGCTCCTAAGCGGCTTTCAAGCAAGCCTTAGTGCCTGCCTCGCCTAGGCCTCACCCCTTTTCTCGAGAGCCAATGCCCGACACGCGAAGACGCGAACTGGTCGGAAGACAAAAGATCATTTGAAACTAGTTCTGCCTCCTTGAAGTCACAAAGGACACTGCCCTTCCGTTGACAGCACCGCCAAATTATCTAATTTGCGCCCTTGCGCGAGCGCCCAACTGCTCTAAGAGACACGCCTGCGAGCGCGCGATCCCCGCTAAAGCCTGCCTAACTCGAGCCTCGAGAAATCGTAACGGCAACGTACCTGACGCACGATCTGTTCACACTACAGCATTAGAGCAATATCACCACTTAGCAAGACCTTCCGCTGCTCATTGCAGCCCCTATTGCGACCATGGGTAACCAAATCTCAAAAATGATGGGCAAGATCTTTGGCTCGCGCGAGATGCGTCTGCTGATGCTGGGCCTCGATGCCGCCGGAAAGACCAGTACGTTCACACAACCCCTGCCAGACCCTTCTTTGGAATCTCACTGACAGCTCAACCCCACAGCGATCCTCTACAAGCTCAAATTGAACCAAGACGTGACCACAATCCCGACCGTGGGCTTCAACGTCGAGACTGTCACCTACAAGAATGTTAAGTTCAATGTCTGGGATGTTGGTGGGCAAGACAAGATCCGGCCGCTATGGCGCCACTACTTCTCCGGTACACAAGGCCTCATCTTCGTGATTGACAGCAACGATCGTGCCCGTATCGACGAAGCCCGTCAGGAGCTGCATAGAATCATCCTGGACCGGGAAATGAAGGAGGCGCTACTGTTGGTGTTTGCAAACAAGCAAGATATTCCGGGCAGCATGACGCCGACGGAGGTGACAGAGCGGTTGCGGCTTACACAGTTGAAAGAGCGGACTTGGTATGTGGTGCCGAGTTGTGCTACGACCGGTGAGGGATTGATGGAGGGTTTGGTACGTTCCCCTTCCCCCGTGTTGCTGTGACTGGACAGCCTTATCGTACTTTCGGCCTCGGATCAGCTAACGGCGACACAGAGCTGGCTGAGCAACAACGTCAAGGCGCAGCCCAAGCACACCCCGGCCAAGTAGAGATTGGGCGCTCACAGAAACCAACTCCACGTGGAGTACGATCCGCCACATCAGACACCCTCAGGCACCCCAACCCCACCAGCGGCTAAGCAGCGACTTCCACAGCACAGGAGGCACGACGTTAACGTAGAGGAACGAGACAGCGTTACCGCACGAGGAAAACGACCCTGGGAGGACTATCGAGTAGGCTAAGCCTCTCTCACAGGTATCGAGAAAAGCAAGGCCTCTCCAAAACACACACCCTTTTTGATACTGGTCGGGACGCCTGGAGGGAAGGAGCACCATTACCACTCTACGAATGTACAGCAAGCGAGTCGAAATGCTACAGAGCGACGGGCGTTCAAGGGAATGGGTGGATGGGTTATATGTATGGCAAACATCCAAATTCGCCAGAGCGGGGGGGAAATATTTTATTGATACCTTCTGTTGTTTGTTATTGCTAGCCAGCCTTGTTGTTTTTCTTTGGGGCTTTGCGTTGCGTTGTGTTGCGTTGCGTTGCGTTGCCGTTGCCGTTGCCGTCACCGGTTACAAAACGAGTCTCGATATCCCCAAACCCAAGTGAGAAGTTTTTCAGTAGTCAGTAGATAGATGAGATACCCTAGGTAGGTAGGTAGGTAGGTAGGTAGGAGTAATTATCCCAGAATCAGAATCAGAATCAGAATCAGAATCAGAATCAGAATCAGAATCAGAATCAGAATCAGAATCAGAATCAGAATCAGAATCAGAATCAGAATAGAGGGAGTGAGCGAACAGAAGAGACCTACTGTAACTCGTGCGGAGGGTCGATATCATCATCCTCAAGTCGATCGTGGCCCGTGGGAACGAAGGACATGACGATTCATCTTCTTTGCATCCGTAGCTGTAGTTGTAGTTGTACCTGTACCTGTGCTTGTGTTTGGCTTCTTAAGACCTCTACCCGCGTCCAAAACAGTGATGGAATAGGCCTCGATATATATATACAAAGTAGGTATCTATCTACCTAGCGTGTAGATGGACACTCTCTGGCTGTAACTCTAACTCTCGAACTCATACTCCGTGTATCGTACAGCACCATCGTTCACCTTCATCTTCATCTTCATCTTCATCTTCGCTCCTTCTCGCGCCTCCGTGACGTCGGCGCCAGAGATGTCTTCCATTCATCAGGTAAACTCCATTTTGTATGCCCCTGCCAGCCCCAGACCAGGTATGCCAGGACCCGAAAAGCAAAAATCCCGGCTCAAGAAGAACGCCCTCGCTTGTATGCGTGTAATATATGTTTGTATCTGAACTCCACCCCAACCAGTTGGCAGTGTCCCCTGCCCATCCCCCCAGCCTGAATGCAGTCAAAAAAGATGAGATCGCCCCCTCAAAGCTCATCCCGTCTCGGCACCTTAGGCCACTCGAGGCCCCAACTGCGCTCAGGAACCGGCAAGCCGATCCACCAGCTCCACAGGCGGTTGGTTTCCATGATGCCGATGGACCACAGCTTGAGGGGCAGCTCGACCCAGCTGCGCAGCACGAGGCGGTAGGCGCGCCAGACGAGGTGCCACTCCTCCCAGAACATTTCGGTAATGGACAAGGGTTCCTGGCGAGGTGGGTCTTGCTGCGGCGGGTAGTCGTCGTCGTCGTCATCGGTGTTGCCCGCTGCCGCTTTGGACGATTTACTCGAGACCAGGGGCTGCGGAGGCTGAGTGTCCGCTGAGGGCTTGACGGCGGGTTTGCGAGGCGGGTCGGAAGTTGAAACGGCGTTGACAGAGACGGGAGCGGCGCCACCTCTCTGTGCCTCACGCGCGTCCTCGTCGGCAATGGCCTGGCGGAACCAGCGGAGGGCTTCCAGGCTGTGGCTGATGCGGCCGAGGGTGTTGACCAGGGCGACCAGCTCGGTGCGGCGGAGGTGAGGGTTCTCGCCATTCTTGGTCTCGTCGAACTCGAAGAGCACTTTCAGCGCGGCGCCGTAGCCGGCTGTCTGCACTTTGCCCCACAGGCGGCACTTGTCGCAGCCGACGCAGTCCATGATGCGCGACACGTTGCGGAAGCGGTGCTTGAAGTCATCCTTGAGTGAGAGATCGGTCTGGAAGAGGAGGGACTCGTCGAACGTGTTGGGAGTCCGGGCGATGCTGTCGGCCAACGCGAGCACCTTTTGCTTGGTGCTGAAATCTTGCTCTGTGTCGCCGGAGCAGAAGGTGTAGTGCTCCAGATGTTTGCGGAGCTTGACGATGGCGCGGGTCACAAGCGCGTAGTTGAAGTAGACGTTGGACAGGCGGTCGGGATAGTTGTGCAGGCGCTGGCGGTAGCAGGTGGTGTTATGGAACCAGGTGCCGGTGGACTGGTTGAAGTAGTCGTAGCAGAGGTGCGTGGAGATGGAGGTGTGCATGCCGGAAATCACACGGTAGAAGGCCCGCTGCTCAATACACTCATCGTCCAGGGCGGCAGGGTCGAACATATCATCGGAGTGGGCAGCCGGCATGTCGAGATGGGTGCGGCCGTACTCTTGGAAGACGTTGCGGAGGGACTGTGCTGCCTCCTGCTGCCTATGGGCGCTCTTGGTAGCAAGCGGACCTTGGCTTGTGAAGCAATTCTCCTTGTAGATGGAATCCCAGACCTGACGAGCGCCTTCACCAGAGTAGCCGGTGAAGCGTTCGGGGTTGTTGACCAGAGAGACGTAGTCGCCTTTGGCAGCCGCACCCTCGTCTTCCGGCACACAGTAGTCTCGCTCGTCACATTCATCGTCGTCTTCCAGCACGCAGGACTCATCCACGTTCTCTCCGAGTTGGTATTGCAACGGCCGCTGCTTGGGCCTCTCCTTTTGCTGTTGGCGACCCGGATGCTTCGCTTTCATGCCCTCCAACTTGCTCAACTCTTCCGCTCGCCAGATCTCCGGGATGTCTCGCTCATCTTCTATCGTATCCACGGCACATGCGCGGTTGCCGCATATGGAACTTTCGTCCGTCCAGAACGGACATACTTTGTTGTACAAGTTCAGGCGGTAATAGGCGAAGAAGTCGGTCTCGGTGGTAAGGTCTTGTAATGAGGGTGCAATGTCACTGTTCAGTTTATCTAGAGCGGCGTAAGAAGTGCAGGCATCCGTTACTATCGAATTCGGATTGAGGGCGCATTGTGGTTCGCCGAGGACGACGTGGGGGACGAGGAGTGCGAAGACGGCGAGATAGAAACGAGCGGCAGACTCTCGCATGGTGTCGGTAGGCAGGTCAATAACTTGGAACCAGGGTAGAAAGTGACATTGTTGAGAAAAAGAACAAAAATGTAATCGATGTTGGTTGCGGACACTCTGTTGCAACTATTTCGGCCCCCCCGAGACTGCGCGGATTCAAGGGGTGGATGCGTAGGTGGCGAGAGCGGCGATCCGGTATGTCAGCGTGGACTGATTTTCACCATCCCAGCATCTCACAAACTTATCAGACACGCAACCCGCTGGCCTTTCTTTGTTCACAGCTGTCATTTCGATCCCGATTTCGATTTCGACTTCGGTTTCGATGCCAGTTGCAGCATGCACATCTTCTCGGTATCAACATGTGGCTGTTTGCCTCGTCCGGATGCGGAAACGAAGACGCGCTCCCTCAATACTTGCAAACGCTTCGAACGCTTCCTGATATTACTACAAGTGTTCAGTAATCTACCAATCTATCCGAGGCGCCGCATTGACCTGCACCGTCTTCCCACTGTCTGTCATGGATCCAATTGTTTTGCCAGCCCGGAGACCTTTCTTGAGGCCCAGCTTCCTGTCCACACTCGTGAACGGGTCCGTACTCTCCTCTTTCTTGACCACCCACTTGCTGGTGCCCAGCACAGCATCAAGCTCCTGCACAGGCGGTAGCTTCAAGTATACCAGCCCATCCTCACGCTCCTCCGCTGGGAAAACCGCCATTGACATGGACGCGTCGTTCGAACATGAGCCCGCACCCTTGTCTTTGCTCTCATAGTCCACCTCGCCATTGATCTGGAAGTTTCGCTTGTGGTACGGGCAGCTGACGTACAATTTCTTGTCGCAACCAGCACCTCCGCCGTCGACCTCGCCAATGAGACCGTCGGACATGCCGAAGGTACGCTTGTGTGGACACATCTGCTGCGTGGCGTAGTACTTGCCCTTCAACTTGAAGACCGCCAGCTGTGTGTCGCCGCGAATGAGTGTTGTGGAAGACCCAGTCTCGACGTCGGCGAAACGACTCGCCTCGACCATTGGCTGCCAGGTAAGCGACGTCCACCGCGTGCCCTTGAAGTCGTTATGGACGCTGTCCTTGGCCCAGTAAGCCGGTCTACTCTGACCTCGCTCTTCAACCTTTTCAACAGCGGGCTCGCGATTCTCGTTCGTGTTGGCGAATTGCTGGAACGCTTTACGCTTCTCCGGGTCGTTGATGGTCTCGGTCCACTCGCAGAAGAATGTGCCGATCAGCTCTTGCATCTGCTTCTCGAGCTCAGCACAGATTCCCAACTTGTCCTCAAGGATAACCTCGCGTAGGTACTTGATGCCCCCAGGGAGATTCTCAACCCAGCGCGCCGTGCGTTGTAGCTTGTCAGCCGTGCGGATGTAGAACATTAAGTATCTGTCGAGAATGGGGATCACATCATCAGGCGGCACATCCTTGGCCAAAATCTCCGAGTGACGGGGTGTTATGCCACCATTGCCACCCACAAAGATATTGAACCCTTTTTCCGTCGCGATGCAGCCAAAGTCCTTGTTCTGGGCCTCAGCGCACTCTCTCACGCAACCAGACACGCCACCTTTGATCTTGTGGGGTGATCGGATGGACTTGTAGCGCTCCTCCAAGCGGATCGCGAGACCCACCGAGTCGCCGATGCCAAACCGACACCACGTAGTGCCGACACACGACTTGACGGTCCGGAGTGACTTTGCGTATGCGTGTCCTGACTCGAGGCCGCCTGCAACCAGCTCGGTCCAGATGTCTAGCAAATCCTGCTTCTTGGCCCCGAACATGTCGATCCGCTGTCCGCCTGTAATCTTGGTGTACAGGCCGTACTTCCTCGCCACCTGCCCAATCACGATCAGCTTATCCGGCGTGATCTCACCACCTGCAACTCGCGGTATAACCGAGAAGGTGCCGTTACGCTGGATGTTGGCGAGGTATTTGTCGTTCGTGTCCTGAAGTCCATGCAGCGGCTTCTCCAGGATATGTTTGTTGTACATGCCCGCAAGAATTGATCCGATCGCTGGCTTGCAGGCTTCACAGCCGGCGCTCTCAGGGTCGGTGCCCACCTCACGCATCACTTCACCCAGCGACTGTAGCTTCTTCACGTAAATGATGTTGTACAGATCGGCTCTCGAGTACTTGAAGTGCGGGCACAGATGATTGAGTACCGTCTCGCCCATGTCCTTCATCGTCTGGTTGAAGATCGACTGCACCAACGGCATGCAGCCTCCGCAGCCAGTACCGGCTTTGGTGCACGATTTGACATCGCCAATGGACTTGCACTTACCATTCTTGACCTGGCTGGCCACGTCGCCTTTGCTGACATTGTGGCAAGAGCAGATCTGTGTGTCGTCGTCCAGGTCGTCAGCGCCCTCGTCGTCGCCCTTGGAGGCGCCAACGATGAACTGCGATGGTGGCACGTCCAGTGCTTTCTTGTTTTTAACCATAGGTACGAGTTTGACGTAGTCTTTCGTGTCGCCAATCATCATGCCGCCGAGGAGATACTTGCCATCGGTGGTGAAGAGATACTTCTTGTAAACAGCCTGGAAGGGGTCTTTGTAGGTGAGAGCTTTGACTGTATCTGCGGACGGGATCTTGGCAACCTGCTCGCCTTCTTTCGTGCCCTTCTTTGCGTGACGACGGACGGGGAGGTCCTTGGGCCCGTCCCGATCAGCGAAGAAGTCACCAAAACTGGCCACTTCGACTCCCAGCAGCTTCAATTTCGTACTCAAATCTGGTCTTTTGAATGTCCTTGGTGTGTGAAGCTTGGCTTGCGTAAGATTGAAAGACAAAACATCAGCTTGCTCGATGCCTGGCGCAATGAGGCCAAAAGTCTGATTCTCCCAGCTCGCACATTCTCCAACGGCGTAGATACTCGGATCACTGGTCCTCAGGTCGTTGTCGATAACAACCCCGCCACCTCGATCGGCGCACTTGATACCAGCTCTCCTGGCTAAGTCATCGCGCGCTTTGATGCCGATGGCGAACATGATGCACGAGCACTCCATCTCTTCGCCATCCTCAAACACCACACCGCGGACGTGGTTGTCGTCAGTTGTGAGGATCTTGCCGACTCGTTTGCTGAGCATGACGTCCAGACCGAGGGTGCGAACAAGATTGACGACCATGTTCCCAGCATCTGCGTCCAATTGTCGAGAGAGAACCCATCTGTTGCGCTCAATGAGCTTGACTTGGCCGAATTCTTCCAGATCCATCATAGCCTTGGCGGCTTCGAGGCCAAGCAGGCCGCCTCCTACAACTGCGCCATTCGTCCCCTTGACGGTAGCTGAGAACTCAATAAGCTTTTGCAAATCTTCTATCGTCCGGTACACAAAGACACCTTTGGCATCGTGGCCAGGCGTGTGACGAGGGAGGACGGCGTCTGACCCCGTGGCCAGGACCAAGATGTCGTAGGATACGGACTTTCCATCGGAAGTAATGACCACTTTTTCATCGCGCTTGATCTCCGTTGCCAGGGTGTTGAGGTGGTAGTTGAGAGCGCCGGCAGGATGGTTGCCATACCAATCCTCTGGATTCAAGTAGAGGTTCTCGACCTTCCGATGCTGAAAGAAGCTGGTCAATCCAACTCTATTGTAGGCCAGGTGAGGTTCTTCGCCGATGACCACGACCTCGTACTCTCCTCGTTTGGCATCGAGCTTGAGGAGTTTCTCACTTTTTTTCAGTCAGAAGCTCTCCAGCGAACGGGGTGGAGGAGAAGGCTTTGCTCACATGAAGGCAATACCAACCATACCCAAACCAACAACAACCACTTTGGTCTTCTTCGCAGGCCCATCTCCAACTGTCGTATCTTTGTCCGCTCCTTCAGGCTCTTGGCTGATAGCCATACCCGGTGACGACGTGGCCCAAGACATCGTGGAAGGGCAGCACTTCTCAGCTCATGAAACTGTCGTACCTATACCGTGAATCAAACAGCTTGCAAGGCTGAGGAGAAATGTCGGGGAAAGAACAACCAAAAAATCCCACGACGAAACCAAAAGAACAGACACTTTTGACGGCCTAGAGCATGCCTCGCATGCATCTCGTAGCCCTCCAAAGATAACAACCTACCTGGTCCTCGATCCATAACTCTGCGTAATCCCATGTGGCACGTACTCCCAGTGTCCGAGTCCGCGGGGAAATCGTAATCTGATCTCTCAACATAAAAGTGTCATCGGCATCTTTGATCGACCCAAGCGCCTCCGCGCTCGTCCATGGAGGTACTGAATCACGAAAGCTGCACCCAATCAAAGGGCTTGCATTTCAATCTGAATGATAGCGACCGTGGGCCAGGCCAGATGGTCGATGAAGCGACCACTGCATGTCCGCGGGAGTCTACGATGCAGTGGATGGATCATGGGATAAGTGGAATGTCAATGGTGGTAGATAACGAGCCTTGGGAGATAAGCTGGGGCTTGGCGCCAAGATCCAATCGCTATTTTGTTCCAGTCCATCTGGTAACATAGCGATACCAGATGAATACCAGTTGTTTCGTACAGTCTGGTAGTACACTACGATCTCGAGACAAGACATGCCAAGGGGCAACGTCGAAGGAAAGTGTGTCCTGGCGCCTTAGTTGGTCTGGTGCTATGACGTGTATATCAGAAGAACATGAGCTGGTCATCATCCCAACCCGCCGCGAGCAAGGCCTGATGCATGCTCTTCTCCATGGCCTCGGGACCGCAAATGAGCACCAGTGTTTCCTTATCCTGTACACAGTTCTCCTCAACCAGCTTGCCCGTGACCCTTCCCCGTAGACCCGTCCAATCGTCGGGAGCTTTTGTGAGAGTATGCAGAATAGTCGCCTTCTGCTCGTTGTCCTTTGATAATGCCTCAAGCTCGTCCTTGCACAGGATATCCTCGAACAGTCTGTTGCCGTCGAAAATGGTGCACTTCGTCGTGTCCTCCGGGTCCCTCATGATGGCTCGGAAGACTTGGTAGATAGGCGTGATACCTGAGCCGCCGCAAATCATCACAAACGACTTGACGTGTCTGGGAGTAGCCGATATGAGACACTCGCCTCGACCCAGGTACTCGAACTTGCCGATGGGACCTTTCATCTCGATGAAATGGCCAATGGGCAGGGCGTCCATCGCTTGCGACATCTTGCCTCCCTTACCACCCGGCCCGGCGAAGTAGACTTTGACGAGCATGTCCATGAATCCCTCGTCATTGATTTCAGACATGGGTGTGTAGCTGCGGATAATAGCTTCTCTGGTAGCTGGATCCCGTAGCCGGACCATCAAATGCTGACCGACCGGAAGCCCGAGGCGCTGTCGAGGATGATCTAGCTTGTAGGTGAATATCCGCGTATCCCACGAGACGATCTTCTTCCCATGAAGTGTCGCCTTGCCCCAGACTTTGGGCCGCAGGAATGTATCCCGCGGCACATCAGACGTGTCTGGTTCTTCCTCGCTATTCGTCAGTGCTGTCCTGGCCGCTTCGTCCAGCGAGCCGATGTGGTAATCTGGCATCATGGCCTTGGCCGTCTCGGAGTGGATAGCCATAAATTCCTCTGAAGAGTCCAATCCGGCGGCAGATATGATGCTCTGCGCACCACCAGGATGCTCTTTCAGGAACGCAGTACCATCGTACACTTCTCCATTGACAACAAACCAAGGATGCTCCTCGGTGTCATGTTTGCGTAGTTCGTCAATGGTGATGGATTTCTTGAGATCCGGCTTAACCATGGAGATTTCTTTCGCCTGCTCTTCTTCAGGCACGACAGCCTCGTCGCCCTCCAGCTTTTCGCCCCAGAAACCGTTCGCAAGGTTGCCGCCAGCTTTCTTGACCTTCTCCATCCACCCACCTGGCTGGAGAGCGGGCTGCGTCGGGTGCTCGAAACGGATGTAGTCGCCCTCCACTGAAATAGTCACACGGAACCAGGGATTGTTCATCATGCCCAGCACCGACCAGTACATATCACGGGGCTGCACGTTCATCGATTCGTCCATAGCGCGGACAAATATGTCCTTGGCGCCGGCAAGTTCGTGTTTTGGAATATCGAGGGTCCAGAAGCACCAACAAAAGCAGCTTTCACGCCATGACATGTCGACCCGTCCCCCAAAAAGCTGTTTCTCAGTTTCCCGATATTTGTCCTCGGCGTAGTCGATGTTGGCCAAACGCCAATTCTTACCTTTATCGAGTGAGATTTCGACGCGAGTTATTCTTCTTCCGCCGCCACTGTATGCGTAGCCTTTTGCACGGTACATGTCCGGAGTGCCCTTCAAACAGAGTTGCTCTTCGTGCTGAGGGTAACAAATGGTAGAATTGGTGCTCAAGTCGTAGATGGCATAGCGCTCATCTTTCCACCATTTCTCGTTGTTGGCCGACTCCTCGGGTGACACCATGGTAGGGAGCACTCGGTTGTCGTAGATATGGTACCAGTTGTCGCTGGGTTCGGCTGTGATGATGAGCTTCTTCAGCCACTTAACCGAGCGGCCACCAATCTGGCCAGGAATTACGGCTCGTAATGGCTTTCCGTGGTCCGGCCTGAGCATTTCGCCGTTCATCTTGTAAGAGAGCATAATTCCTTTGTTAGGATCCATCACCCAATTCAGCTTGACCGAGGTTCCATAGTATCCGTTGGGCAACTTGTCGGCGCCCTCCATGCAAACATATTTGGCTTTTCTCGTGGGTCTGGCTCGCCTTATCACCTCTGACATGACAACCCCAGTGAACAAGGCTGTCGACAGACCTGCTGCACCCCATGAAAAGCCTTTGCTTTTCCGAACCATGTTCTGCTCCTTGCGTCTATTGCCAGCGCAGACTAGAGTAATAGGACAGGTGATCTGTTCATATTCGTTCATGAGCTGGGTGAGGGTGATGGTCATTGGATTCTCAACCAAGCCCTCGACAGAGAATTCCCAATTAGGTATCTCCTCATCCCTGACTTGAGGCACTGCACCATGATTTCGTACGTAGAAGAGCTCTGGACTTGTCAAGAACCCCTCATCAAATAATGCTGTAAGTGGCGCTTCAACATTGAAAGGGTGAACACCCGTGAGGCGTATCAGTCTCGGATCTCGTGGCACATGTGCATCAGGTGTTTTTAGGTCGATGTCGAGAACACTCTCTGGTTCTTTCGAGGGCGGCGGCAGCGCGACCTCCACATCGTCTCCATCGGCGGATGCATCAGAGACACTGTCGTCAGTAAGCGGTGGTGTAGGTGGTAAAGCGTCTTTGGGCTGCGGCGAAACGTTTTTTTCCGGCTGGTCGCTATGAGTATGCTTGGTCGTTTGCATGGTGCTTGTGTTGCGGCAGACCTCAATATGCTCAGGTTGCGCAAGGCGAGGGTATTAAGTGAATTGTTACGGTATTGTCAGACATGACACCTGCCCAGGCCGCGCCGTAGGACAGACCCTGCGGGCAGTGACGATGCATTGATTGCACAGCCATGGCGTCTGATTCGTAGACGATCTTGACGATCCAAGTCGTGAGTGAGATCCCGTGGAAGTTGCACGTCCTTGTATGGAGTCATCTAGGCCCTGCGATAGATAAGGCCCGATTTTGCGATTTTGGTGGCGTAATGTTTGATAGGGGCCGGTACCCCATCAACTCCACCTGCGGGGACTTTTTCCGAGGATACAATACCTGAGATGCGACAGCAGCTCATTACATGCCACCAGCATTCTCGGGAGGGCTCCTGCTCGAGTGCGAAGCCGGAGGCGTTGGACCCTTACCGGTGCTACCAAAGAATCGAGGAGGAAGACCTTGTCTCTTGGGAACGGTCCCCAAATGTCTATGATAGATCGTATCAATGAACGCCTCGGACCAAGCCGTTAATTCTGAACCAAGACTGATGAGGTCTCCAATCAGCATGTGAGCGCTAGGCAGGGTTAGTACAGTCACGCAACAAATCGGTACAGAACCGTGCCCACCGTGAGTCGAGACTGCGCACAATTGAAATCTTATCTTCCAATTTGATGGAAGCAGCTTCGGTGTAGTCGAGTCCCTGCAACAAACCCTCCAGTCTTGCCATCATTTCGTGAGGCCAAGTTAGATGGTGCTGCGAGGACTCGGCGACCGTCTGCTGAATGGCATCCACCCACTCCGACATCTGTCTCAACGTCCTGACTGGTAGTTCCGAACGAGGCGTGTCTGGATACAGATGTAGGGGAATGACGGCTTTGCACATGGCGAGATCCCCGACAAAGTAAGCCCCGAGCAGCACCGGTGCTGGATCGGAAGTATCTTGTAGTGCAGTCAGCAACCCAGACGATAGATCATACCATTGGTTGTAGCTTAAAGAGGAGAGCAGGAAGCCTTTCGCAGCGGATTCTCGGAAAGCAGCCATCGTCTGCTGCATGGCTCTGCCGAAAGCGTGGCAAAAGGGACTTGCAGTCAGACTCAATACTTGATCAATTCCAGCTAGAGCACGATGGATTAGCGGGACATCAATTTTCTGGTCTCGCAAATGCTCGAGGGCGGCTTCGAGTTTCCTCTGCGGCCACTCGGGTTTGACGTTCAACGTTGTCTGCAGCTTGGTGCGCCGAATCCTTTCCGTGGCTAGAGCGCAGCCTTGCACGAAAACCCCAAATTCATCCTGCGCATCAGGAAGATGTGAAGACTGGAAGGCAAGGCTGTAAGCAGTGGCTAGCACAGCATCGGCATGACCTTGCTCGTTCCAGGCATCAGGGTTGTTGATAGCCTCCTTGAGACCAGCAATAGCTTTGCCACGATGGTGAAGCATCTCATACTTGATTTTTGCACCTGGATTGGCTCGGAGAAGATCAGAGGCGCCCAGAGCCAGCATTGCGTGCATCAGGAAGTTTTGCTGGTGAGCCATTTGGGGGAGCTCGTTCAGCCACACGCTGCGGTTTCCTATTGGTAGTGCATGGGGTTGTAACAAGAAGCGCTGAAAGAAGAGCATCTCTCTCATGGTGAAGGTCATCGCTGGTGGCGTGGGCCCCGACGACGGCCAGAGGCTCGGTGGAGTGTACGATGTGTACAATGTGGAGGTCGACAGCACCCGGGAGTCCGGAGGCGATGCCTCCAGAGGCGTCGCGGGGACATGAGTAGGATAACGGCAAGGTATGGCTCTCAACAAGCAGTTTCGACAGGTCGGCCGCTCTTCACCACACCTGGGATCGGTTAGTCGGGTAACGTGCTTGTCTCAAGTATATTGTGTATGATAAAGAAGCATTGGAGCATCTGCATGCTGCTAGAGAATACGAGTCTCGGGCGTCTCCCCACTTCAGCCACAGCCGTACGTACTTTATTTTCCGAGTCTATGCAACAGCATCGTCAGAACAGTTCGGTATCGAGCCCGACGGCACGGATGCGTGTGCTCACCTTACAAGTGGAACAGCCTCTTTTCGAGCGGGTGCGCGGTTTCTTCGGGCGACTTGCTAGCTTGGGCGTCCGACCACCGCCGGAGGGCAGTATGAGGATAGGGGCCGCCGGTCCCCCCTCATTGGACACCATTTCAGAGTTCTGTGTCGGTGGCGAAGGACATGGCTTGCTTCAGGAGAAAGGAGCCTAGCATGCCGCTGTCACCGCAAGCTTTGAACGCCCACTGTCGATCGTGGAGAGCTTTAGCGAGAGTGCTCGCTTGCGACCGCAGCCCTACAGGCCAAGGCGAGGGCCAGAAGTGGGATCCGAGCGAACCCGACTCAAGTCGCAAAGGCCACCCCCGTTCAAGCTGTATAGCACACTTGGATAGATGCTAGTATGTTTCAGCATAACATGTTCCCGAGTCTCAGATGCTGGCAATACGAGGAAGCGGTCGAATAGAGATCAAGTGGGGGAAATTTGCAAAAGGGCGTGAACAAAGCCGAATACGCATGCTGGCACTAGGCTTTGATCAGATAGGCGCCTTCTCAGCCTCTTCTCGGCGACGATGGGACTCACAAGTCTCTGGAGCATCATCCAGTTGTATTCTTGTGTGTGTTGACTCCAATTTCACTAATGCAGCTCATAGCCCACCAAGACCAATATTTCTCAGCTGGTCAGGTCCGCAAGGCACACAAGCAGATATGCCGATGTTGATGACTGGAACCCCTCCCAATAGACCGGTATCGGTTTCAGAGAGACGCCTTGCTGAGGCTCATCTGGGGGATCGCCGCCGCGGCGAGCACAAAGGTCGGTGGCGCTATTTTACAAGATCTATAGGGCCCCTTTCCGTGCTTCTCGATGTCTACTTCGTAGTTTGATATTGTCCGCCACAATGGCCCTCACTGTCGGTCAGGTCTCCGGTCTCATTGCTGCAGCCGTCACACTTATTCACCTCATCTTCCCAAACGCGCTCGTGATTGTCCTCGTGGGTCTTCTGGGAAATGAGCACAATGCGGTAACATGGTCTGTTGCTCAGCGGAGTCTCTCAAGCTCGCTATGGCCCTCGCTTTTAAGAACCGATGCCTCAACCGGTCGATCCGTGAACATCGGAGTACGCCTCCTGTCACTCCTGAGTCGGTTTGGTCTACTCATGATCGCAATTGCGGCTACCGTAACTCCGCTTGGGCTTCATGAGGCTATTGTCCCAACTAACGGCAATGTGGCTGTTCCTTTGTAAGTCCTCCAGAGAATCACCTTGTGGGCTGATGGTCCGAGACGTGTTATCCTTCCAGACTATCGCTGATCGCCCACCGTTTATAGCTCAGCTTTTCAAGACACTTCGCCGATGGGCATAGGCACACCTGCGCGCAGCAATGATCGTTTTACCAGAATCTGCGGCTCCTTTGGACCAATGTAAGTGCCCTTGAAACACTCTTCACGATGGGCGTGCTGAATGTATACCAGCGTATGCCCCGGAAGCAAAACACAGATCAACTACACATTGGATCCAGATGACAACACGACTGCAACGGACTACGACGTTGTGGGGACATATGATGCCATGGTCCCAGCAGCACTGATCGAGCTGTATCAGAGTGGCCTCAATGATCAGCCGGAGACTGTCTCATCATTCTTCGATATTCAGACTCGTCAATACACAAAGGTCGCTGATCCTCAGAAAGAAGATGGAAGGCCTTTCTTGGTCGACTCTTTCCGCATGCTTGAGCCCCTTATTCTCAACGACGCGATCGAGGCCAAAGAGGGCCTGATCGTCGACACGAAACAAGGTCAAGTGGGCTTCCGCCACCACATGACCCCCAGCCACGTAGGCGAAGGCGCAGAATGGTCTGAAGATCTGCTGTTCCTGGAACCTATCACAGAATGTGTCGACACCAACCTGACGCTCGAGTTCAAGATCCCAGAAGATGGCAGTTTGGGAAGCAGCGGAATGTCTAACCTGACCCTCATCGACAACGGGGGCTTCTCGAACTTGATCCAGGAGTATCCACAGATGAACGTGACAACCTCACAGGAGGACCCGCAGCTTCGATTTAGAGCTTATAAGGCAGCTTGGATCATGAACGTCTACAGTATGCTTATCATGAATATTACAAGGCCAAATCCAGACTCATTCGGCTATCTCAACTCCGAGCCTGGTCAACGTTGGGAAATCGCTGAGGGCTTCGGCAGCCCTGGCTCGGTGGGTACCTTTCTGGCGGAGCAGGACCATGGACTGACAGCTTCCAGGCCAACGCAATCTCCGTCGACACACTCTTCTCCTCACTGGTAGATCCGACCTCTAACGCGAAGAGCAACAGCACCAACAGCGTCACAAACGAGACCAGTCAAACTGGTATCTACGACAATCCATTCAACATCACGTCCTCCAATTACAGTGACATCTCCCTACTTTGCCATGGAGCAGGTGGTCGAGACAACGCAAATGCAAGCAACATCTTCGTCCAGTGCGGTCTTGTCTATGGTGCCGCACGCAGAACAGACGGCGTAGAGACACTGATCTTCGAGCCCGGAGACGTCTACCAGCAGTCAGTATACTCATGTGCTTCCGCCACCCGCGCTAGTATCAAGAGCGTCACCATGAAATACAACGCCACAGCAGGGGACTCCCTCAAAGCCCTGACCATCTCCAACATCTCAGAGAAGGCCTACAGCGCCAATGATGGCCCAAACCCCCCACCCCTCTGGGGAATCGAGACCGTCGACATAGCTCTTTCCGACATCCAGCAGCTCTGGGGCTTGATCGACGAGTCGTACAAAGACGATCCCAATGTCACCGCTATTCGCGCCCCGCACCTACACCTGCCCGGCTACAGTTTGTCTAGCGGCCCACCGGTCGGATTGCCTGGGGTCGAGTTCATCCCTGGCGCAACAGCTGTGAGCAGAACACTGGCAGGTATGTATGGCGGCATGTCTTCCTCTGGCAGTGGCGCGTACGACTACACTGGTCAGTCGAATCTTGCGCTCTTCCAGAAGTGGCAAGGTTTGAGCACCAGTATAGATGGCGTGGCTAAGATGTTGAACTTGGTGTGGGCCGATACTGCAGCCAACTACCTTCAGGGCACCAGAGGTTGGGGATCTGTAAGTTGACCTGCTCACAAAGCGGTTTCTGTGGTACTGGAGCACTTACTGACATGGCATAGGGAAAGGTCACAGACGCAAGTGGCGGCAACCCTAGCGCATCCCGACTGAAAAAGCGACAGAGCGATAATGGCAATCAAAGTGTCATGGTTCCAGTGCAGCTGTACGAGAAAAAGATCCAGTACCACTGGGTCTACGCCATCCCAGCTTTCATCGTACTGGCTACCTTCCTCTGCGTAATGGCAGCCAGCTGCTGCTGCATGCTCCTCCGCAGCGGACCAAAGCGCACACGCTATTACTTGAACCACCTCAGCGCGGGCAGGCTGCTGGCCGAGCAGCGCTATCCCGGCGCGGTGGACAAACAAGTCAGCACCGCGACCTGGATCAAAATGGCCGGCAAGTATCCTGTCGCTCTGAAAGATGGGCACGGCTACGGGCCGGCAGCGCAGAGTCTAGTTGGTGGTGGTGGTGGTGGTGGTGGTGGTGGTGTTGCTGGCACACCCGGTGGAAGTCCCTATACTGGACCAGACGGCTTTGACGAGCGCAAACCTGGTGGGATGGCTAGTTCAACCGAATTGTCGTCTCTCAATCCGGTGGAAAGGCAGATCAATGGCCAAGGCTATATGAGGGTGCATTGAGCGGGGGATCTAATGAATTGTGTCGCGGTGAGCATTTTGGCGCATAGATATCTCCATCATCTTAGACTTAATCATACGAACAATGAATAGAGCAACTGCTCCTAATCCCCGGTAGGCTCGACACACCCTTCTCGAATACCTAGACCAAATCCCCCACTGCGAAGTGCTGGGATAGGCAGTGCTCGGCAAGTTGCTTCCCCTTCACGAGGCTGCATTTTAGCCTCGTCAGCAGCCACTTTGGTCCACTACCGCGCACCACCTTGTACCCAAGACCGCGACCTGGGGCACTTTCAGCACCTTGCACCAGCTGACCTGAGTGGCCGCGCGCCCCAGTAACCTTTCAACCAAGGCCACTGCGCCGCCAAAATCACCATGTCCGACGCCTACACGTCTCACTCGAGCGGCAAGCTCAAGCTCAAAGGCGTCAAGGACTCGAAAGTCGCCAAGAAGAAGAAGTCTTCCTCTTCGTCGTCTTCCAAACCCAAAGCAGCAGCAGCAGCAGCAGCAGCAGAGCCAGCAGATCCAGCAACAGATCCAGCACTTACCGACTCATCCGTTATGCTCAAGACCCTCACGGACGAAGACGCGCTGATCGCCAAGGACGACGCTGCCGCCCGGACGTCTACTGAAGGTGGAGGCCGTACGGAATTGGCAGGCAGGAAGCGAGCATCAGCAGAGGAGGGCGGCGAGGCGGATGGCGAAGGCGAAGGAGAGGTGCGCAAGACAGAGGCGGAGAAGCGATGGGACGAGCAGCGAAGGAGGAGGCTGGAGGAGCGGCTGCGGCGCGAGGGCGTCAAAAGCCACAAGGAGAGGGTGCAGGAGTTGAACCGCTACTTGAGTGGGTTGAGCGAGCATCATGACATGCCAAAGATTGGGCCGGGGTAAGTTGGGTCGGGTGTGGGAGGGGGATTGGGGTTCTGGTGGTCGGTCCTCTTCTTGAGATATGCAATTCATTCTGGCTCGGGGGG